ACCAAAATCGAGAAATTTTGCTTTTCTATCAACCCGAAAAATTGCATTTTCTGCCAAAATTGTCAAATTACAATTTTCCGCAAAAATCAAGAAATTATATTATCCATCAAAAGCCGAAAAATTGCATTTTCTATCAAACCGAGAAATTGTATTTTTTGTCAAAATTGAAAAGTTGCATTTTCTTCGCATTTTCTCGTCAAAATCAAATTTTTTATTTCTCACCAAAACCAAAAATTCACATTTTTTCGCCAAACCCGAGAATTTGCTTTTTTCCGCCATAACCGAGAAACTATGTTTTCCTACCAAAACTGAAAATCACATTTTTCTACCAAAACCAAGAAATTCTCTATTTCCGCCAAACCCAAAGAAATTTGTTCTCGGTAACCAGTGGAAATGTGAATCTCCAAGCTGTAGTGGTTTGAGTTTCTCCTCATTTGCTTTTGCCTTTCATTTTTTTTTTTGTAAATTTTGGGCTTTTTAATACGTCAGTAAAATAGTAAATTGATTTTATTAGTGTGTTAATAGTATGTATTATTGTTCTGTTTTTACTGGTTCAAATTTTTGCTGATGTGTGAGCTTCTTATAACATAACGTTTTTTGCATTGTTGTTATGGAAGCATAGTTGATGATGAGTCTACACTTTCGTTAATCATATACGTATCTATCAAGCAAACACATAGGTAGAAATTTTAATTTTTTTTGCTGTTTTTTATTATTTGAGTTTTGGTTTGGCAAAAATATAAAACAAAGATTTAATTTTATTATTTGTTGTTATTTATTATTTGGGTTTGATAAAAAATTAAAACATTTTTTTTATTTGCTGTTATTTATTATTTGGGCTTAGGCTTGACCAAAAAATAAAATTAAAATTAACAATAAAAAATATTTGAGTTTTTAATGGGTTTAAATTTAAAAATTCAAATATATTGATGATTTATATTAATGAAATGTTTTTATTGGTATATTTTTTTGCTGAAGTGTCATCTTTTAAAAGCTTGAAAATACTGATGTGTCAAGCCATGGAAAGACTTATGGGTTATTATTGTATTGATTTATTCGACCACTTAAAGTGGTACCTCTTTCAAACAAATACTACGATTTTAACTTTGGTCGTCGCTTATAAAACATTTTAAATTTCATCTATATATATTTTCTTCCGAAGATAAATGTATTTATTATAATACGAGTCAAAATCTTATCATGACGTAAAATAACGAATTTATCAGTCTTTGCTTACACAGTTGCAATTATAATATTAGCAATTTTTATATATGGATCAATTAAAAGTCACACCATGCTTGCTTTGACAAGCTTTCTTATCCTCATTCACATGCGATCTTCTCCTTCTTTCCCTCTCTCTCTCTGACCGTTGACTTTTGATAATCTCAAGATTCTTCAATTTCACCATGTCTTATATCAAATAAGCTGACCAAACCTCTCTATATTTTCTCTTCTTGCTCCTCTAAAACCCCTTAAGCAAATCAATCAAACCGCAAACCGCCATGAACACCTTCCAACCGCCGCCGCCGATGCCGGACTACAACGGCCTCCTCGGCACAGACGACATCGGAGGATTCAGATACGGAGTCGGAGTCTCCATAGGAGTGCTCCTCCTCATCACCACCATCACCCTCACCTCCTACTACTGCACACGTAACCAGCACTCTTCTTCACCTTCACAGACCAATCAAGATTCCACACGTGTACATCACCATCACCACCACGTCATCATCGACGTTGTCCCCGGTCTTGACGAGGACACCATTCAGAGCTACCCGAAGATCCTCTACTCGGAAGCCAAGGGAAACTCAAACTCCACGGCGTCGTGTTGTCCCATTTGCTTAGGTGACTACAAAGGAAAACATCTCTTGCGGCAACTCCCAGATTGCAATCACCTCTTCCACCTCAAATGTATCGACACGTGGCTTAGACTCAATCCCACGTGTCCCGTCTGTCGGACTTCGCCGCTTCCGACTCCCCTCCCCACTCCCCTCGCCGAGGTTGTTCCCTTAGCCTCCTCCGTCGCCACCACCAGAATGTCCTAAGGAATTGCTTATAATAACCGGACTAATAATCCTGAATCCGAAAGTCAAGCTTAATCTTGGGGGCATTTCTCTTCTTCAATAGTTCTTTGTAAAGCTTTCATTTTCGGTCACTAACTGATCATTGTATATAATACTTTGAAGCCCAAGATTTGTAAAAAGAGGGAAATTAAGGGTAAAATTTCACAATTTTGTTGGATAAAAAACCTGCTTTGGTTTTTGTTTTCAAGTTGAATCCTGCAAACGTTAGCAAGAAAAAATAGTTAAAGTCGTTTTGAATATCGTCGAGAGAGACTTGATTTATGTTTCTTGGCTTGTATCGAACTTTTGGGCTTTAAGAAATAAAATAAAAATTTGAGACGTCAATAAGAAATAAAATAACGAGAGGTCGAGAGCAAGTTGGAACTTAATAGGATCATCAAAATACACTAGATATTTATCCGCGCTATGATGCGGTATATTTTCTATTTTTTGTATATATTTTTAATATAATAAAATTATTTTATAATATAAATGAGTATTGTATTTTTTTATTAGCTTAAGTTATATATTTATATATTTTAAATCTGATAAATATTATATATTTTTTAAAATTATAATTTGCAATTAAATTTGGTTAGCTAACTAATTATAAATGTATATGTAAGAATAAAAAATATACTTTTAGTACCTTTATGCTAATGGTAAATATAATCTATTAACTCTAATAAATTACCACTTGATCCTTTTTTATAATTATATAAAGAAAAGTACTATTTTAAAAAAGATTTATAATTAATATGATTATCGTTAATTAAAAAATTTATTTATTTATCAAATATTTACTATAAACATATATTTCTCAAACTACCAAACTATAAATAAAAACATTCATATCAAAATCATTGTTATTGCTTTAGAACTAAATAAAAAATTCTGTTTGAACTCTTGAAATATCGTTTTAGTTTAAGTTAAATAATAGAATTTTGGCTACTGTAATATACTTTAACTTGAAAATTTAGCATATATAAATTTTATCTTCTTACAAAAACCGAGAAATCGCATTTTCCGTCAAACCAAAAAAAAATTCATTTTCTCATGAAACTGAGAAATCGCATATTCCCGCCAAAACCAACAAAAATTATTCTTTCGTCAAACTTAAAATCTAAAATTTCATTTTTCCGCAAAAACTTGTGTTTTTCCTCAAAACCGAGAAATCATGTTTTTTTCACTAAAACAAAAAAATTTCATTTTCCTGCAAAAACAAAAAAAAACATATTTTCCAGTCAAAACCAATAAATTTATTTTTCTGCAAAAACCGAGAAATCGTCTATTCCCACCAAAAAAAAATTATTTTCTCATCAAACTAAAAATCACGCTTTTCTACCAAAACAGATAAATTGTGTTTTCCGGCAAAAACTAAAAAAATTGTATTTTTCCGCGAAAACTAAGAAATTGTATTTTCTCGCAAAACCCAAAAAATCACATTATTCGTCAAAAACTAAAAATTTTCATTTCCCATCTAAACCGAGAAATTGCTTATTCCCGTCAAAACCTAGAAATTTTATTTTCCCATTATACTGAGAAATTACATTTTCCACCAAAATCATTAAATTACAATTTCTCGTGAAAACTAATAAATTTCATTTTTGCATAAAAACTAAGAAATCGGTCAAAAGTCGAAAATTTGCATTTCCTATCAAAACTGAGAAATCGATTTTTTGTCAAAATTGAAAAGTTGCATTCCGCATCAAAACCGAAATCGTATTTTTCCGTCAAAACTAAAATATTTTATTTTTCCGTCAAAATCAATTTTTTTTTGTTTTCTTACCAAAACCAAGAATTTACATTTTCCCGCCGAACCCGAGAGTTTTGCTACCAAAACTGAAAAATCACATTTTTTACTGAAATCAAGAAATCCACTATTCCCGGCAAAACAGAGAAATTTCTTATTCCCGCCAAAGCCAAAAAAATTTGTTTTCTCGTCAAAACATGGTTGATGCTAAGTCTACACTTTTTTTAATCATATACGTCTATGTCAAACAAACAGATAGCTAAATTTTTATTATTATTATTTATTTGTTGTTATTTATTATTTGGGTTTGGGTTTGACAAAAAATAAAACAAAAATTTAATTTTTTTATTTGTTTTTATTTAATATTTAGCTTTGAATTTAGTAAAAATTCTAATAAAGATTTTTTTATTTGCTGTTATTAATTATTTGGATTTTTGTTTGGTAAAAAATAAAACAAAGATTAATAGAAAAAGTATTTGAATTTTTAATGGGTTTAAGTTTAAAATTTAAAAAATAAATAGATGAGTTGTATTAATAAAATGTTTTGATTGGTGATTATTTTTGTTGAAGTGTCATGTTTATAAAGTTTCAAAAAGCTGATGTGTCAAGATATAGAGAGACTTGAGTGTTATTGCTGTGTTGATTAGGCATTTCAAACGGATTATACATTAGATCAAACAAAAGTAGATATATTTTTATCGTATTTTTGAGAAAGGGCTAACAAAAGTAGATATTTCAGCAGTGCGTTTGTCTTATTTGGTGAAACATCGATCAGTCAGTAAATATGATATTAGAAAACGTTTAAGAGGATGTAACTTGTAAGACAATAGATGTAAAACGTTGACCAGGAGGCATAAAACTAAACACTCGAAAACGTTTTTTTTTTTAATTGTAACCAATCCCAACTGGCTGAAATGAAGTAGGTTATATGATAAAAATGAGTTGACTACCAAACTGCCCTTTTAATATATTTCAAGTGTATTCGAAAAATAAAAATATCACACCAAATTCATTTTACACATACATATATCTTTAGTGATATTAGTAAAACTCGTTGAACTTGTCATGTCACATGAGTGCTCAAAATGTAAAGTTCAAAATCAAATTCGAAATAAAGCTGACCCGAAAATGGGCCGGGTTGAAAACAAGAGCTGGCCCAGCCCATCACAACAGACCGCCGTAGAATTTTCACGACGGAACAACAAAACTCACACAGAGGCTGCGTCTGGTTCAGTAAGTCGGTTTTACGAAAACAAAAGGCGTGGGCTTTTTTTTTCCTTGAGGAAGAATCCACACACAAAGACGAAATCTCATCGATAATCAGGAATGGGTTGGGTCTGGAGAGACGATTCATCCGCTTCCGACGCTGGTAACGATGTCACCGATCAAACACTCGGACATTCCGGCGGCGAAGGCAATTGCTCCACCACCACGGTGGTGAGATCGCAGTGCAAGACGGAGGAGGTCGAGCCCGGAAAGTTCGTCAGGAAGTGCGACAAAACCGAGGAGATCCTCCGCCACTGCTTTGGAAAGTGAGTGAAATTTCTGATTTTTTTCTCCCAGCCTTGATTTAATCAAAAAAGGATAGCATTTAGATTTTTGAAGCATATGCTATAGAACATTGATAGATTTTAAGTTTGATTATTGGAGTAAGTAATTAACACTATCACGTAGAAGATGAAAGATCCAATAGATTAAAGTTTATTCAGGAGAGGAGAGTGTGTTTGTTGTTTTGGGCTCTTGACTCTTGAGGTAAATTGAAGCTGAGCTAGTTCAAGATTGATTCTCTATTTACGGAACTAAGAGTTGATGGGTCTTTCTGAGCCTCGGATTACGATATAGTTGAATTTCTGGAATAGATATGCTTAGTTCTTATCTGAAAGGACTTTCTTTATCACTGCATCGTTATCAAAGCAGCATGTAGCCCAAGGCAAGGAATCCAGATTAAGAATAACCACAAAATGTGATGAATTATGTAAAATCTGTGTCATCTTTGTTGTGTTGTAACTTGCAAGTTCTCTTTGTAAGTAAGTCGAGTAACTTCTATGAGTGCTTTAACTAGAAGAAGATTTATGTTATATGTGCATTTTGCTCTCTCTCTTTTTGGGTCTAGACTTTGTCATTGCGCCGTTCAAAATGCTCACAAACCTTGTTTGATTTTCCAATGCGTTATCGTGTTTGTGTCAGGCCCTCTGAAGTTGTTCAATCCACAACAGAGCACACCGAAGAGGACGTCACAAACCAGATGGTGGGGAAATCCGCTCTACCGAATCTGTTTGAGGAAAATCCGCTAAACTTCCCGGGACTCCGCAGCGACGTAGACGCCATCGAACGCCATTTCTTCAGCGGGATGAAGAGTTTCTTCGAAGCTGCGGAAGAGATGAGAAGCAGCTTGTTCGATATCATGGGAGACGAGCATCACTCGAGCACAAGGAGAGGGATACCCATTGAAGACCGTCTCAAGGTAGAGGAGCACCGCAATGACGAAAGTGCCCCTAGACAGTCGTACTCCTCTGGAGAAATTGATCTCTCGGGCTTGGCCAAGGACGTTTGAGAGGGAAAGGTCTTCGTCATCTAATCTTCTTCCTTTTGACATATATAAATCTTAAAATACTATGTAATATGACCTTAGTATAAGCGTGGGGATTGTGGTCTAATGTTAGCGGCATGCACGTTTTGCCTAGTGGTTGGTTTTATCTCCATCATCATACTACTATATTACTATGTTTGTGTCTTTTCTTTAATCATACCAACCAAAAATATGTTACTATCACTTTTGTCTGAAGTTCATTTTTTATATATGTAACATCTTCTTGTCTGAAAGTTATCTATATCTCGTAGTTTTTCATTAAATGGTAATATAATAAAAATGGTCAAAGCATGGGTTATGGAGTAGAATTTAAGATTCGAAATCCAACCTTACGTTTTTTGAAAGATTAGTTACCATTTTGTGGCTGGAGAAAGTTAGAACAGATCGAGTCGAGTCGAACATCTTTTTTAACAATTTCGGAATTTGAAAGGACCGAACCTGTTAATCGATATGTATTCACACAGACACTAAATAACCATTAACACAGCCTCACAGAAAGTCATATGTTAGAATTTTGGTTGGGAAAGAGAATCAAATTAATTAAGCAAATTAATTGAGGAGAAAAGCCAAAAACCCTAATAAATCCTCCCCAAAAAAGATTTCAGTCACGACGTGAGACCCAATTCCTTTTGTGAAATCATCATCCTTCTCAACGCTCATTTTCATCTATTTCTTCTTCGTTTTTCATTTGTGTATTGTATTGTGTGTGTATCTTACGAAATGAGATGATTCGTAGAATCATTTGATATCTGATTTCGATCTCTCTCTCTCTCTCTCTCTCTGTTAGATCAAAATTAATATTCTGGGAGATTTCTCTGTGTCTGTTCATGGCAGTGGTTATGGTGTTAGAAAGGAGAGATCTTTGTCTCTGTAAGATCAAATTAAGGGTGTGTTCTCTTGCGTGAAACGGAAGGAAACAAAAAAAAAAGGAAAAGGGACTTTCTTCTTTATCTTTCGCGTTTCATTTTAGATTACTGTATAGCGTAAAGTTGATCGTGGATTCAGATTTTGTAGAGAAATGGGGAATGTATGTGTTCATATTGTCAACAATTGTGTGGATACGAAATCGAATTCATGGGTTCGTCCCACAGATCTCATCATGGATCATCCATTGAAGCCTCAGCTCCCAGACAAGCCTCCCAACCAAATGCTAATGTTCAAGGATGATGAGAAACCCAAGCTTGACACTCATGGAGCCCCTAAATCACTTGAGGAGGAGAAGGCGAAGCAAACGAGTGAGACGAGGAAGTGCAGTGAAGAAGAAGAGAAGAAGAAGCGAGCCGTTGGGATCGCGTGTGGGAACAGCAGAAGAACGGCTCACAACGTGAGGAGACTGATGAGTGCAGGGCTACAGGCAGAGTCTGTGTTGAAGACGAAGACAGGGCATTTGAAGGAATACTATAACTTGGGGAGCAAGTTAGGTCACGGGCAGTTTGGGACGACGTTCGTGTGCAGAGAGAAAGGAACAGGGGAGGAATACGCCTGCAAGTCGATCCCGAAGAGGAAGCTAGAGAACGAAGAAGACGTGGAAGATGTGAGAAGAGAGATTGAGATAATGAAACATCTCTTGGGTCAACCAAACGTGATCTCCATCAAAGGAGCTTATGAAGACTCAGTGGCTGTTCACATGGTGATGGAGCTCTGCAGAGGAGGTGAGCTGTTTGATAGAATAGTGGAGAGAGGGCATTACTCCGAGAGGAAAGCTGCTCAGTTGGCTAAGGTCATACTTGGTGTGGTCCAGACTTGCCACTCTTTAGGTGTGATGCATAGAGATCTTAAACCTGAGAACTTTCTATTTGTCAACGATGACGAGGATTCGCCTCTTAAGGCTATAGATTTCGGGTTATCTATGTTCGTCAAGCCTGGTACGTTCCTTACAAAAACAGTAATGTTTTGCTTCGATATCCTCTGTTTTCCTGAGATGTGTGTTGCTGTTTGAAGGAGAGAACTTTACAGATGTGGTTGGAAGTCCGTACTACATTGCGCCTGAAGTTTTGAACAAGGATTATGGTCCAGAAGCAGATATTTGGAGTGCGGGTGTGATGATTTACGTGCTGCTCTCTGGTTCAGCTCCGTTTTGGGGAGGTAAGATTGCTTATTTTGATCACATCTTTTACTTGTTTTGTGAAAGTGTTCTCATGTGTGTTGTTTAAGTTTAAGCAGAGACGGAAGAAGAAATCTTCAATGAGGTTCTGCAAGGTGAGCTTGATTTGTCATCAGATCCTTGGCCACAAGTATCTGAAAGCGCAAAAGATTTGATCAGAAAGATGCTCGAAAGAAACCCAAAACAGAGACTCACTGCTCAACAAGTCTTGTGTAAGTCCCTAGAATCATGAAACTCCTAAGCAGATATGGAACTCAATCTTTGTTCTTTTTTCTCTCTTTTCTTTTCAGGCCATCCATGGATAAGGGATGAAGGAAATGCACCAGATACACCACTTGACACAACTGTGTTGAGTCGCTTGAGGAAGTTTTCGGCAACAGACAAGCTCAAGAAGATGGCTTTAAGAGTACACCACATATAATCAAAGCTTTTTCTTTAGATGGTTTTGATGAGAGAATCTCTGATTAGTGCTTTCTCTGGCAGGTGATTGCAGAAAGGCTTTCAGAAGAAGATATTCACGGGCTTAGAGAAACATTCAAGACTATAGACAGTGACAAGAACGGGAGAGTTACTTATAAAGAACTCAAAACCGTTTTTGAAAGATTCAACACAAATCTTGACAACTCTGACATCAATGGTCTTATGCAAACGCCAGTAAGCAAGAGACTAGTGTCTCAATACATTGATTTTAGTGATGAGAATATAAGTTTTGCATCAGAGATTTTCTTACGTATGGATGAATCTTCTTTGTGATCACTTTTAGACGGATGTGCATTTGGAAGACACAGTAGACTACGAGGAAGTCATAAGCGCGATTGTAAGACTGAAACAATTACAAGATGAGGAAGCAAATGATCGTTCAGACTCATCAGTAAAAGTGTAATGAAGTTGGCGTGAAATATATTGTTGTCTGAAGAAGAGTAATGAGTACTCTCAAAAGTCAAAACTGATGATGACGAATGTAAGTAAATGTGATGCATCCACTCATTTTTTCATATTTTAAACTTGTAATCTTTGTAAATGTCTCCCTAATGATAATCTATAATCTTTGCTTTATAATTTTAGATTGGAGGATGCTACAAAAGGGCTGGAACAAAATGAAATAAGAGAGGCATAACAAGGAGAAGAGGGACACAAAGAGGCCACAAGAAAAGAAGAGTAAGTTGATGGAGGGAAAGAAAATAACTGGGATGTTTATTATATGTTTAAAAAAAAGTTAAGAGCAAAAAAAAAATGAAAGCTGTGTTTGTATATATATAAATTGTAGTAGAAGGGATAAGGAGACACAAATTAAACTCAGGTGATATTGATGCTTTCAATACTGCTCTTTTCTTTGTGCCTTAAGCTGATGAGGGTCATATTAGGAATAGCAAAGGATGAATCTGTATCGAAAGAGAATTAAAAGTTTTGAAATATTTAGCCCATAGTTTAAAGATGTTATTGAAACACTCATCTATTTCAATAGGCTGACAAATACAATGTCTGTGTCGCTATTTGACCATTTGGTGAAAGTCACTAGAATTTACTGAAATCTTCTCTAGAAGTTAAAAATATGAATTTGATGTCACAATAACACATTGAACTAAGAAACAATATTTGAATTCAGCCAAAGTGTATAAGAGAACATTTACTATATCAGTCAAAAAAGTATTTCACCCTAAACGTAGATATATACTTAAGGAAAAAGTCGGAAAACTGGTCTACATCGCACAAAACTTCGACTCATTTCGCCATGATTAGTGGTGACAGTGGTTTTAACGGAGCTCTCAAAATAATTAAGAAACGAAGTATGTGAAATTTTAGGATTTAGCTTCTTCCTAATACGATGGTTATCAAGCTTGGCTATGAAAATATTTTTGAACCACTTCTGCACCATCAAACTTTAAAACTTTTTCTTTTAATTTTGATCAGAAGTATAGTGAAACTCATAACTGATGATCATTTGAATGATGCAGCTAATTAGGAAGAAATGAAAACTCTCTCTCTGGCTTTTTAGTTGAGAATTTTTTTCCTCTGGATCATATCATTACGGCTACAATTTGGATATACACCAGGCTTTTGACTTCTCTGTTAGATAGTTATCAGCTGCTTGTTTGGCTTTTTCCGGATAATCAATACCGAACACGCATATTTCATCGAAATGATCACTTGAGCTTAAGATGTAGACAGTTTCTTTGAAATTGAGTTATAATTTGCAGCACAAGCGAAGATACTGATCTTGCCTACAAATCCTTGGTCTCAGAGACTGGAAACCATGACGTGGTAAGCATACTTATCATCAACTCTCTTAGGAATCGAGCAATTTTCGATGTCCCAACAGAAAACCACATCTTTCTCATCAAGAGATCTTTCTCATGATTCACATAAGAAATGAAAACTCTCTCTCTCCCAACTTTTTGGTTGGTTTTTTTTTATGTGGATCATATCATTGTGGATACATTTCGGTAAAACTGATCAATAGTGAACTGGTCTATTTTTCTGTGTGCGATTCGAAGTAAACATTAGTGACAGTATTTTTTTGACAAGACCTACTGAGAGTGTTTGTGAAAGAAAATGTCTACGTTTTGTTCTAGTAGATTTAATTCACTACATGCATATATGTGTAAATGAGATATATAATACAAAAAGGATGGCAAACAAAGAATATGCCGACCTCCAAAAACAAACTAATCATAACCATGCACAAAGTGTGCGAAATTGTAACTGAAATCCAAAAAAGTATGTGTACCCGTAAATATCTCCAATTAAATCATTCGGGTAACTAACTAATTGAGGTAACTGAATTTGTTGTTTTATTGTAACACATTGAACTAAGAAATTGCAATCAAAGTTTTTACGTATATTTACTGTATCAGTCAAAAAAGTGTTCCACCGTAAACCGTTTTGGACGAATCCTGAATGATTGCAACGTTGTACAGTTCTACTGTGGGGCCCGGTTTTTGGCGATCAAAAATCTCGAGAAGATGGGTCCTACAAGATCTGACGGTGGAAAATCATAACACAACCTACGTGGAAACAGTCTTTTTTGGGTAATAAGAGAAAAAGAAACTCGTCAAGAGACAGCTCAGGCGAGGCTGGATGGGGCCCCAAAGATGGAAACCAATCATGTGAAACGGTCGTGACACGTCAGCAATAACGGACGAAGAGTGGGGTCCGCACTCGGCGGGTATGTCGTGGGGGCTCTCTTAAATTGTTATTATGGTTCGCTGTAACGGAGAAACCTCTCTTCTTCTCCCCCCACGTTCTCAAAACACTGTGTGTGTGTGCTTTGTCTAATCTCAATCATTTGCTTCTCTTCTCTATTTACCATCATACCCTTTCCTCCACTCTTTGACCATTTTATTGACTTTTTCCTATTTTCTTAATGCATTTCTTGTTGATTACAAGTTGCAACAGAACTTGTGGAACCTAACTGTTGTCAAATCTCTGAATAATCATGCTACAAATCTACTAAATTAGCTGTCTTATAATAGTTTTAAGTCTTAAAAAGGTCAAAGACCTAACAAAAGACGAGGGGTGTTTCCGTCATTTGGTCTACGTTTTGTCTACATCTTCTCTCCTTTGACGTTGAAAAAGCCATCTCTTTCCTTCGTTCATTCCCACACAGATACAACAAGACTCGCTCTTTCATTCTCCTCTCTTTCTTTTTGCCAGTGTCTTTCAACCATACGAAAAGCATATAACCTTTGGTATTTCTTTCTTAATCGACTTAACGAGGTATATATCTGGTTGGACTTTTGCCTTTATTCTTTCAGTGTGTTTCACTTTTGTCTTAGCGACTTGTATGATTGATTCTTCATGGTTTTGTTGAGTAATTGTGTTCTTGCTTCAGATTTAGATGTCGATTTCGATTTTGTCTCGTAATTTTGTTTTTTAGCTGTCCGAATCCAGAAACAGGGTTCTTTTGGTTGAATCTCTTCTGAAAAAACTAATCAGAGCCTTCGAATTTTGATTGAATTAACCTTAACAGAGGTTCGTCTTTTCCTGAATACTAGGATAGTTGATGATCATAGTTAAACCGTTTTGGTGAAAATAATGTATGTTTGATTTACTGCTTACACAAGCTTTAGAGATTCAGTGTGATACTTCTGCTTATGTGTTGTAAAGATTAAAGGATATGAGTTTTTGAGTGTTGCAAATATTTTTTACTTATAATGATTGTTGTCAATTGCATTTCTATGCTCCAATGTTTAGTTTTCTTTTTTAGGATCAGATGGAACAATGGGTGGCTCCTTAAGAGAGAAAGATCCTGTCTTTTAGCTGAGTTCTCTTTCATCATCTTTGTGGGATATAACATTTGCTTTGTGTCACTGAATGGCGTCCGAGAAACCGGTCGAGGATGTGAGTGTTGTTGCGGGATCAAAGAAAGAGGAAGACAATGTTCATCTTGAGAATCACAGGGACAAGAACAGACCCGAGGCTCTTGACTTATCTACCGAGAAAACTGACAATGCCAATGAAAATGCTCCAAAAGATGAAGCCTTGACGCCGGTAAATTACAATGCTTCTCACAAGACTCGTGTTTGTGTTTTTTTGTTTTAGTCTTCTTAACATAACATGTCTCTCTCTCTCTCTTCTGTGTCAATTCTCTGCAGGAAGCAGACCTCCCTGAGTCTGTTACTTCAGTGAAGAGTAAAACATCCAAGGATAACAAAACCGTTAAGAGAAAGTCAGGGACTTTTTCTCGGAGCCCGAGGTTCATGTCTCAGAGCTCTTCGTTTCCAACTAGAGGAGCGAATACTGATATCACTAGAAAGAGCATTGATGCAACTCCACCAAAGGCTGCTACTCCTAAACCCGTCGTTGCAAGTGGATCTAAAGCAAAGGCAATTCCATCTCCAAGCAGTGTTGGTGTTTCCACAAAGCGCAACAGTTTAGTATCTGTGCCCCTCAGAAAGCAAGCTACGGTAACTACTGATCTGTTTTGTTTAGTTGTTCTAAAAAGCTTTCGCTGTTCTCAGCTAAACGATTTGCTTTTATTCTGTATCAGCCTGTGAAACCCATTTCTAAAGATGCAGCTTCAGTCCCTACTTCCAAGTGAGTCAAAATGTTTTCTCATTGTTCGAATGCGTTAACTGTTGAAGATCTTGATAGTCAACTAAACTGTTCTCCCGCAACAATTGCAGATTGGGAGATGAAGTTTCTAAACCCACTAAAGATGAAATTGCAGGCAAGGACAATGAAGAGGCTCCATTAACAACCCCTGTGTAAGTCCCCTTTGTTTATAATGTTTTCACCTTTTCATAGTTTCGAATGTAGAAACTGTTGGAGTACATTGAAGTTATTAAGTGTATGCGTCTGTGATTTTACAGGGTGGAAGATAAAGTATCTAAACCCCTGAAAGGTGAAAGTGCAAGCAAGGAAGATGACGACACACGTTCAACTACCACTTCGTATGCCATTTCTTCATCATATTCTTTCTAGGTTTGTTAATGACATATGCATCTCTTTTTATAATGTTTTGGATGTTCAACAGAACTTCTACACCACGTGGGCGGAGAAGCAGCGTAGGGTCTGCGTCTGGATTTTCGTTCAGGTTGGAGGAACGGGCTGAAAAACGGAAGGAGGTTGCTGCTAATGCACTTTCTCTATTCTTAGTTTTTTAAAAGTCACAACCTTTTCATTATAACTTTTTTAGTTTCCTCTTAACTTGTGTCTCCTTTCAGTTCTATATGAAACTAGAAGAGAAGATCCATGCTAAGGAAGTGGAGAAGACCACATTACAGGCGAAATCAAAGGTTAAAACTTTTGCAGACTCTTTTATAATGGAATCTTATTGATCTAACAGATTTCTTTTTTTGGGGTCAAATGGAATGTGTTTGTTTAGGAGAGTCAGGAAGAAGAGATCAAAAGGTTGAGGAAGAGCTTGACGTTCAAGGCTGGTCCCATGCCTAGTTTCTACAAAGAGCCCCCACCTAAGGTTGAATTAAAGAAGGTTTGCTTCTTTGCTCTTCCTATGTGATGATCATACTTGTCCTAAATTTGTAGTTGTTGTATCTGACGTGTGGTCGGTGAAACTTGCAGATACCTACCACTCGTCCTAAATCTCCAAAGCTAGGACGTAGAAAGAGTAGCAGCGATGCAACAGGAGTTAGTGAAGCTGGTCCTCGTGTGATGAAACCAAAAGACTCATCATCATCTACATTGAAGAAACCCATAGCAAAGTTGTCTCAGCCAAAGCTTGAAACTCAAGTGAAGTCAGTGAAGGCCAAAGAAAAGAAAAAGGAAGGGAAGAAGGAAGAAGTAGAGAAAAGAAGAGAGGAAGAGAAGGCTTCTTCTGTGGCTGCTAAACCGGAAGAGAAGAAAGAAGAATCAGAGAAAGGAGAGGAAGAGAAGGATTCTTCCGTGGCTGCTAAACCTGAAGATAAGAAACCGAACTCAAACAACATTCAAGTGAAGGCTGAGATTATGGCAAGTGAAGTTGCAGTGGGAGGCTGATGAAAGCAAAGAGAGCGTTTGGCAGCGATCTCTTATGTTTGCGTATTCTTCTTTTTCAAAAGCATTAATGTGTATAGAGTTGTTGCATTGCGTCTACTTTTGAGAGTTACTCTCCATTTCTTCAGTTTTTATTTTTTTTGGAAACTAAGACTCAGATTGTTTCTTAATATATGGTCTCTAATATTTGTTGAATTTCAAATATGTGTAACTTATATATGTTTTATGAGGATGAGATGTGTGTGAATTTGAGAAGTAGAACAATGTTGAGTTTTGCAAATTGTTTAATGTTGAGTTTTACAAACTTGAGTCTGAATTAAAAAAATAAGAGAGGAAGAAATTAGTTTGGGCTCTGTTTGGGCTCTGTTTGGGCCATCGTTTTGATAGATTCTGGATTAAAATGGTCATTTTGACCCGATCCATAACCATAGAAGATAATTATGTTTCAAAATGTTACTCGTGTCTTCTTAATATTCATAAGTCTTACAAAGATTTATAGGAACTTTATAGGATTTATGAACACGAAACGATTTGAGGATACAGAGCAAAAGAAAAAAAAATAGAATTGTTCTTCTATATCGTTTTCTATAATATTGCATTATTATGTACATATTAAAAACACTTAATAACGTTTGACTTTGACTCTAGAAACCTACTACAAAGTTTGTGAACTTCGAGTGAAATAAAAAGAGAAGAAATTAGTGAAAGTATTAATTTGCTAAAGACTAAAGAGAATCAGGCTTTTATTACATAAGGACAAAAGCCCCACACAGCTCACCTGCCCTCGTGGCCACTGCCTACTTCCTCCTAATGCACTCACCGTCTTAATAGTAACATTAAAGAGATTCGTGTAAATCGTGTCCTAAGCTGTAAAACGTTAAAAATCTTAGTATTATAAACAAGGGCAACTCCTTTTTCTTCATGTTCTTATGTTTATATTCTATCTTCGTAAAAGCAAATAGTGTTATCTAATTAAATATTATCTACATCGTTGATGTACCAAATGTAATCCTGTGATTTTCAGAGCGAGATCGCTACAAACGACTATATATGAAACTCGATTCCTTTTTGGTGACGACAATTTTTGTTTTGTTTTGTAATTGCAATAAACCATAAACAAATAGGCAGTATAATATTATAGATATGTTGATTGATGTATTATATGTACATTGCAACAACCATGTCCATTGTCCAATCACACATTATTTAAAACTAAAAAATTGACATCTTATGTTTTATATCTTAGAACATGATAACAATTATCGATATATGCTGTGTTAATTGACAGGAGAGAATGGAATATAGAATAGGCACACACAAATGGATCCTCCTCCCTTTATTATTCCATATAGTTGTATAACTTGTATTACATTGATTTCTCTATCTCCTACAACTTTTTTCTTGCACCCCAAATAACAAACTTCATCAAAATCTACCAATCGACGTATTTATATATATTTTTAATATAAAGAATTACAATAGAACATGCAAATCGCAACGAACCAAAAATCACATCATTTACATATTCATCTCTATTTTTTTTTTTTTCAGATGTTTACAAAATCAGGAATTTCGAAGCTCTGGTTTTATTTTGATATCGTGTAAAATCATTGACACGGGACAAACCGTGACCCCATCATTTGACAAGCCACCTCCATCAATTTACCTGCATAGATTATATCATATCATCAGTAACTCTAATAAATGATTGAGTGCAAATTGCAATGAAAAAATATGATTAGAAACAAATCCAAAATACGGAGAAACAAATGGTTTGGTTTGGGTTTTAGTAAAAATAAAAGACAAGCTGTCGTTAACGACTCTCTCACAGCTTGCCTTTTAGAAAGAACAAATAAAATTTAGAAAAAAAAACAAAAAATTATACGAGATTATTCGTCGGTGGGTTATTACAAAAAAAGAAGCTAATATGTGGAATAAAAAAAACAAAATTTGTTAAGAGAGTTTTGTCTCCATTGTCCAACACGTCTCTACTTTATTCCAAATCCCACATGTTTACTTACTTCTACTCTCATTTAACGAACCATATTCATGGCTGCTTGATCTATTTGTTTAATGTTTCATTTCCATATAAAGTTTTAGAATAAGATTTTTGACACTCAACTACACAGAAAAATGATGAATTTTGGGTTTAGATGTCAATATCAAATATTTATGGACCGAAATAATAGAATCTAGAAACTAACTGTGATAGAAGAGTGAAAATTTTATTTTACCTCTTCTTGATTTAGCAACTTTCTTAACGACCGGAGCAGCGGGTTTCACCTCCGTCGCCGGAGTCTCCTCCACCGGAAACAAAACTCCGTCAATACCCTGAACCGAAATCCGACCGTCGGTGTAGATATCAGGGTCGAACAAGTAAGCAGAGCCTTCACCGTGTCCGAATTTGACAGAGCCATCAGCTTCTTGAGCCAACACTTTGTGTGGGAATCTCAACGAATCATACTTCACTTTACCGAATCTCCGTACGGCGTTATACATACTCTCCTCCGTTTGATACTCCGGTATGATATGGTAATACACAATCTGCTCAGGAGCACCTGGCTCGCTCAGCTGATCCGTTGTGAGCTTAGCCATAGCTTCGTCGTTAGGAGCCAAAACGGTTAAAACGTAGCCTTCCGAGACAAGTCGACCCATCTCGGTGGCTAAGGAGGTTAGATTGACGAGAATGTCAGCCATCTCGTTGTAACCGCCGTAATGCAAGAGAGTGTGGATGAAATCTTTGACCTGAGCCTCGCCGTTGAAGTGGTGTCGTGGACCTCCGGGTCCTGGTGCTGGAGCCGGAGCTAGGGAAGGACCTGGCGACATAGCGTCGAAAACTGGGAGGACCGGAGGGGATCCGGCGGGTACAGATACCGGTTTCTTGAGACGGTGGGTTCTTGGGTCAACCTCAGGAGCTCCTTCGGGTAAAACGGCGGAGATTGATCGGAGGCTACGGCGGCGGTTGAAATCTTCTTGAACGGAGCGAGGGATTAGGAGACGCTCGATTCCGTGGATGATTCCATCGGGTCTGATGACGTCATCCGGACGGACGATTTCAGCGGAATCTACTTTTAGTCGGGGAGATTGAGTGTTGTCGACGGTAAGGTGGAGATGGTCGTTGGAGAGAGTGCGGTGGCGATGCGAGAGAGAAGGCCACTGAGGAGAAGAGATACGACGAGGGAGAATGTGGAACATCAAGAGAGATTGTAAAGATTTGAGGTTTCTTGGTTCGAGCAAGAAAGATTTGAAGAGAGGGTCGAGGTTTCGCTCTAAGGCGTCGTTACGAGGGGCGAAGATTGTGATGTTGTGTCGACCAACTGCTTCTTCGAGGGTTTGGAGGAGGAGGGCCTTCTCGACTAGCTCAGCTAGCTCTGTGTAGTGAGAGTCGAGGAGAGCTACGAGGACGGAATTCGAGTTTATTTGACCCGACCCGGGTTTATTATCGGGTAATGCGGTGGCAATGGAGGTGGCTAGGAGGAGGAAAAAGAGCTTTGAGACGCCATAGGAGGAATCCATGGCGGTTGAGAGAGAAAGAGAGAGGGTGTGAGAGAGAGAGAGAGGAAGGAAGTGTCGGCAAAGTGAAGAAAGAAGAAGGGGTTGGAGTTTTTGCTTGTGAAGAAGGAGAGAGAGAGAGAGATTCTGATGCTGATGTGAAGTTTCTTCTTTCTTTCTTTATTTTTTTTATTGTGGGTGGGGGCCTGGGGGTAAAAGGTGTCATTTTGTTCAGAATTGTGTTCCTAACTTAGAGCCTCTCCTTCAGACAGAGGCTTCTACTTGCTTCTGTTCACCAACTAAGCATTGTGTCTTCTGTCTTCAAGCTTTCGTGTCGGTTTCTGACTCGGTCCACTATCTTAAGTTCACTTCAAGTAAAAACTTTCCATCTTTGTATTTTTAGAATATATATATATATATATAAAACCCGATTATTTGGCCTGCAAATCAAAACGTACGACTCAAACAACTGTAAATCCAATAATTAGTTGACAGTCACTATTGATTTATAAATAAAACTGGAATGCTATAGATTATGGTTAACTATTGGGCAACATATATGTCGTCGTGTTTTAAATTTGATCTGCTCTCGAAATTTATAATATGATACTAATAATTAAGCTTCATCGATACAAAAAGTTTCTATGCTTCATGGCGAATATTTTTGTAGGGTTCTTGACATTGTTTTATCTTACAACCACTAGGTGTAATTTGATGATATAGATAGTCAAAACTATTTTTTCATTTAAATTTTTATCGTTACGCACCACTATATTTACAAAAATTAATAAAAGTGTTAAAAGTGTTCCTACTTAGAGGTCGCAAAGAGTCTTCTTACCTCCAACATTGTGCGTTCGTAACGCTCTCGTTACCATTTGTAGTTCATTACCTACCATTCATGGGTTGATTTCCACGTGCATTCTTGACTTGTGGATTTAACAGACATTGGATTCACAATCCCGTAAAGCTCAAAAATGATTATTAACGATTACTGCATATCATTATCAAATTTTATGTCCCGTGATTTGTCTCTGTTTATTTCTCACATCACACATTCTTTAATTATTGTAGCTCAAGTACTCCTAGACGTGAAGATCGATCTCTTTCGATTGATTATGAATAAGCTTAGTGTAAACTTTTAGTGATATATATGCTTAATTAGATGAGTTATATTAATTGTCCGTCCATGCACCAACTTATTGTCAGAAAGAAACATATAATTCTCTTTTAATTCATCGAATGAATTAGCATGACCGAACGAATTATTACTCGTTACATGAAGTTCGATTGTAAATGTAACAATCCATTTTGAGCTACTGGCTTATTCTTTTTTGGACGGAACTATAGAAAAAAATATAATTAAATGAATTTTAATTTCTACGATTATTAGTCACTTATAGCAAGAAATAGGTACAAAAAGAATCGTAAAACTAAAACTAGTGAAGGAAGAAGATAAGATGTCTCTCGTCCAAAATGTATATCGATTTAAACTTTTGATCTAAATTTTCCATTATATTATAATAAGTGGTGATCATGAAATTTAATATGCTTGAGATTTACTGCATGTCGTGATTGTGAAATAATATCTCGAGATAAGGATCTATTTGATCAAAAATATGAATGTGGAGAACTCTTGTGAGAGATATAAAAGAAGGGGGCTCATGAAATTATGGAAACGCGAAGACTATTTAGGTAAAGTCAAAGAGTAGGTTTTTGGTTATCGTACGTGCGGTGGAAAAGCGCGTGAAAAGTCTTAAACGTATGATTGATATAACCTCGCTTTCGCCGTTAATAATGGTCTGAACGGCGACGTTTCGCCACCCGTTAGATTTTCCGTCGCCTTCGAACCGACACTGTCTTTGGTAGTTGGCTTTCTCCTTTGATTCGAAGCTCCCTCCGTTCTTCAGTCCCACCAACATTATACAAAGAGAAAACAATAAGAAAATAAAAGTGGAAACAACTTTGAGATTCATTTTTATAATTTCTGGTTATTATATTTGGCCAAGGAGCTCCTAGCTCGTAACATGACGGGACTTCTTCACTTTTAAGTTTACATTTGCATTTTTTGTAAGTGCTCTAATATACAATGTACTGAGAAAAACACATGTTTATTAAATATATTTTTTAATGGAAGTGAAAAAAAGAAGAAGATGGAAATTTCAACAATTCAAAATGCAGAGTCAATGATTTTTAAGGATTTTTATATTAGAGCAAAGAACATTGATTAGACAATAATTGAAATAAAATGCATTGTACATATACTTTTCGGGTAGATGCGAGATGTATGGTATTATAATATTATTAATAATTTTAAGTATCCTGAAATTAATTAATCATTGATTTGATTCTTACAAAATTAAAGATTGGTGGGACAATTATTTTCAGATTTTCGCTCTCTCTGAACATAAACCGTTTCTTGTATTGTTTTGTTACGAAATCAATCTTCTGTCTTTTAGAAACAAAATATTAAATTCTTAGCTAGCCAATACAAATCGTTGCTTAACAGTTTCAATTTTTTTCCATTTACTAAATTACTCTATATACTGTTGACATGTGTATCAAATTCTATGTTACAACTAAGAATGTCAATCATTAGGTTCTCTACAAATATTTGGCATCAACTCATCCCCTATCTGTAAGTTTTTGAAAGTTAGTTTTGAATTGTCTCTAAAGAGTTTACTACAAATTCGATACAAAAATTATAAAGCATAAGAAAAATGACAAAAAACAAAAAATAAATTAGAGGAAAAAAAACGATGAACAAAATACGAAGAAGGCTCAACGGCTCACTACACGCACTAAGTCCGAAATCCGTTGGGCTTATCCCAGAAGCCCAATTTTTTAATGAAAAAATAATATACTACTGATCATAATCTCAAACTTTTGGATGTTCCTAATTAATATACGTTAATCTTATTTATATTTGTTGGCTGGTTCTAATAAATACGGTAGTTGATGATACGAATCAGAACATTAATAATATCCTTGACATAAATAATCACATGAAGTTGAGTAGGAAGTTTCCTCCAAATCTGCCCCGGGTTCTCGCTCCTCCTAACCCTCCTGAGCCTCCCGATCCACCAGATCCGCTGGATCAACAATCTACCCTTTTTGCCTCAAAAGGTTCTGTCTCTATAACTCTTTGGAATAAGTCGCTTTTTGTTAGTTGTTACCTTCTATCAAACTTCAATTACCTCAGTATGAGGCTTATATTACCTCAGTTTGAGGATTTTAGTCTTTCTGTAAGACAGCTTTGACCTTATGATGAGGATATTATTCGAAAATTTCTTCTAGCTTTTTTTCAAACTATTGGGTTCTTGGCATTGTTACCTGCTGTTTCAGGATCTTCAGGGAATGAGATTTGCAAGAGTTTTGGCAATTGGGAGGATGAATTCAATGACTCCCTCCATTATCCTATTGTTGAATGTCTTTGGAACCTCACTATGCTTCGGTCCAAGCTCAATGAAGACTCCCAATCATCTCCTCAGCTGCTGTTTCAAGAAGTCCTACCAGGTTTTGCAGGTCTTATCATGCTATTATTGTTAACGGACATGGATGTCTTAATTATCTCCCTTGTGTTGGGAATGGATTTGAATGAGATAGCAGGCTTTCTACTTTATGTACAAAGCCTTGTTATTCTTCTCTTTTCCATCTATCGTTATTTTACCTTTACACTTTGTGTTGCAATTTTGCTAGCTATGCTCTTTAAATTTCTTTGCTGCATTTCACTTTTTAGCACTATTGGTGTCGAGTTTAGAAGACTGCTCTATGCCTCTAGTGGTTTAAGTGTCTCGTTTGCTCCTATGTTTTATATGTTAGCTCTGCGATTTGCTGTTGTTGCATCGGATTTCTTATTTTTAGCCAGTTTGGCTTGCATTTTGTAAATATTTTCTCCATTGTTGGAGATTAAGTATGCTATAAAATGCTTTTGTTGACCAAAAAAAAAATAACCACATGAAGAAGCGGATATGTAGTCCCATTTTACCTCCAAATTTTGGGAAGAGCGGTGTGTAATTAATGCAACCAAATTAAACAAACAAAAAAAAAAGAACTCCGAGATACCAAAAAAAAAAAGAAGAACAACTAATTTTATAATTACACAAGTCAGCCCTTTGTGTTGAACGTTGACTTGTTATAAAACTTGACTCTTTTGTGTGTTTCTTCTTCTTCCTCCTCCATCCTCCAGTTTTGTTGGTTTCCGATTTTTCCGGCGATAGTCTTCGCTGTTCCCTGACGGTTCCATCACATCTTCTGCAAAACTCACTTTTTTCTTCTTCTTCTTCTCCGCATTCTTCTTATCTACGCGCATTGTTTACAACAAAACATTATAATTTGAATAAAGAAATTAAAACAAGGACATGAATGGAATCGAGAAGATTCAGTACCAAATCGAAGTTCGAGCTTGTCCATGTAATCGGAGAGGAGACGCTTGTGAAGCTGAGCGGCGAGGAGCACCACGCTTCCGGAGACGGCGAAGACTGTCATGAACCCGATTGAGCTCTCCATCTTCAGTTTTTTCTTCTGAGATTTGGTTTGTGTTAGTTAGGATGAGAGATTAAAGCAATTAAAGGATATGGTGGTGACATGATCATTCATCGGAGTTTCGAGGAAGGGAAGCATTGGTGATTAAAGAAAAAGTAGTGAGACGATGTTATTCTTCTTCATTAATAACAGTCTTCTTTTCCCAACTAATAAAACAGTTTTTTGAGAGTTGAAACTTTAAAAAATAACAAAAAAAAATAAAGGCGTGGGAGTGGAGGGTTTGGAATAATAAATGGTTGGTGAACTTTTTGTAGGAATTTGTATCGATATTATTATACAAAAAAATGAATTTAAAAATCTACCAAAGTAGTTATATTGGATTCGTAACATACCAAAATATTATGCAGACAAACGATGTTTCAAGTGTCTTGTTTTTACCTGTAATCTAAACGCGGATCGAATGCGGAATGTTAGTACCTTTGAAAATTGCTCTCAAAAGTCAAACCCTTCTTTCTTCTAGAACGATGGATTTCTTATCACGCAAGCAAACTTTTGATTTTAGGATTTGCAGTTTTTTGTTCGTCTAATCAACAACCTTCACGCTGACTTTTGGTTGTTGTTGTTATAAGAGATCACAATGATTCCTATCACGTCAATTTTTTTTATTTTATAAAGGATTATCACAATTCATAGTTCAATTAGGAATCAACCTTTCCTAGCTCCATGTGGATTAGGACTTGGGAGGACTCTTTTGAACTTCATGACTCTACATTTTTAAAACGTTTTGTTGTTAGTGCAAAAGAAAATATATCTGATTGTGACAAGAAATTGTTTTGTCAAAAATGGAAAATTCAACTCAACAAAATAAATAAATTAATCAGAAACCTTATTATTAGTTCATACTGATGAATTGACTTTATCTATTATATTTATTTTTTGTTGGCCGAAGTGGGTAGTTGAAGAAAACTGAATTAACTGAAATGTATATAGATATAAAAGGACTATGAAAGATGGGTTTTGAGATCCAAGTTTTACGAAAGCAATGTTTTATTTGGATCTCGTGTGTTTATACCGAAATTCAAATGATTTATGGCATAGATCATTAGATGAAAAAGAGAAGAAGTCTTATTAAAACTGCAGACAGAGAGAGAGAGATGATGTGATTTCAGATGATCCAGCTGCTATCATCCTTGACCGTTGAATCCTTGGACCAAGTTTGCTGTACATGTTCCCACACCAATCCTTCACCTTCCTGCATATTCCACAGTATACAATCATCAACAAAACTCCAGGAGCTACTCTTATTACACAATCTCGTACCTTTGAGGTAAATTTGACAGTCGTCGTGCAGCCTCTTCGTTCGTCTTCTGCAAGAGAATATGGTGTTAGATAGTTTCTCATGGATGATGCAGAGATTTAGGCAACAAGTCTCTTACCACTCTGCTCCCATTTATCAAGCTTCACTATCCAAGTCCCAGGAGTAGTTTCTGTTGCCAGAACTTGATCTGCCCAAACCCGAAACTTCTTCCCTTGTTTGTCTCCATGGTACTTGCGCAGCTCATCAATGGTCTCTCTCAGAGATTTTTCAGCACCAGACGGATGAACAAACACACCATTAGGGTGCTGACACAAAAAGGCATTTTATAAAGTCAGTTGTATTATCCCACTGCAATACACATTATCTAAACTTGTGTTTACAAAACTCACACATGAAGCTTTGAGGCTCGCAGTGTACGCCTCGCAGTTCTCAACCTCACCACGTCTCCATCTCTCGTAGAACAAGAAAAACTTCACAACCTCGTGACCAGGGTTCACGTTATCCGCCTTGCACTCCAAAAAGTCAGAGACATCTCTTGGAGAAAGGTTAGGACCAAGCTTGAACTCACCAATGGCTTGTATAATCCCACCCGCACACCTCTCCTTTGCATGGATTACCTTCGGGTTGTCTTTCGCATTTTCAGCGTGCCACTTCAACAGCTCTTCTTGAGCATTGCTTACCTAGGGAACAAGAAATAACAGATTTTCAACATCGACATGAAACTCAACTCAATTCAGAGAGAGAGAGAATGTGAAGCATATGGTTGAACAGAAACCAAACCATGACGCCATAAACATCAGGAATGCTAAAAAGTTCAGCATCGTTCCCAGAGTCGCCACAAGCAAGAGTATTAACAGGGAGTTTTCCTTCAGCCTTGAGCTTCTTTAGCAGAAATGCAAGCGCTTGACCCTTCCCAGCACCTTGTGGTAAGATATCCAAATCCATGCCTCCACTGTAAATTATTTTGACATCCAACTGAAACAACCAAATACAAACAACAGTAATCAAGAAAAGCTGTAAAACTTTCAGTTGCTATGATAACGTTATCAAAGCAAAATCTTACCCCACGTTTCTCCAGCCGCTGTGATAGCTCCTTGGTAACTTCCTGAGCCTTACTCTTGTCAACGTAAAAGCTAACCTTGTGTGGCCTCTGCTCAGTTTCTGCCTACATGCAGTGATGATCATCACACTCTCTGTCATTTGTACCATTGAGAGCCGCTAGTTGAGACAGAGACTTTTATTTGTTGAAGCAGTGAAGTACCTGACGTGTTAACTCAGAGAACTTGCTGGTTTCTTCCCTGACAATTCCCAGGTCCCATTTATTGTTCAAGGTCTCAACCCAACCATGATCAGGAACCATGGAGTTACCATAAGTAATCTCGGTTCCTACAGACATAATGGTGATATCAGGGGTCAGCAAAGGCTTCTCTTTTCGAAGCTCCTTGTACAGCGTTGGTGATCTTCCCGTTGAGAAAACAAGAAGAGAGTCATGGCGATAAGCGTGTTCCCACAGTGAGTTGAATCTCAGCAGAGAGAGGTTCTCAGGATCATGATGATCAACCTTTCACCAAAAACGTGTTTTACACATCTTCAATCAAACAAAACCTCCACTTGTTAATTAGCACAAAAAAAAAAAAAAAAAACAATGAAAGATTACGGCTTACCATAGTATGATCAAGATCCGAGACTATCATGAGACGAGGAGGAGATGTTAGCCGCTCCATGATTTACTTACTTACGATCGTCGTCCTGAAGTTTACATATTCATAATCACGAGTGTCAATTACATAAGAATTCGTAAAATAAATCTAAGAAAAGTGGATCACCACTAACTAGTACAGATTCCACAATCAAGTGGTGAATGACCCGAAATCCCAAGTTTTTTTTTTTTGTTCTCTTTCTGATAAAGCAATTTTACACAATGATTCAACAGATGAGATCGAAAACAAAAATCAAACTGAAATTCATGGGAATCACACTCAGAAGAGAGGATGCTAAACCAAAATTTCACGTGGGATTCATAGGAAGAGCAGAGAGCTAAAATGAAGAGGAAGAGGAAGAAGAAGAAGAATGCGGAGTGTACCAGAGATTCAGATTTTCACCACAAAATTGGGATCGAGAGCTCCTCTTGTCCTTTCGATTGCTTTTTACGATAACAATCCGATGATGATGAAATTGATGATGAAAGGAACAGAATCGAATCAAAAAGATGCTTGCACGTGTAAGCATATCTAGCGGCTATCAGTTTTCCAGTAGACGTATTATTCCTTTTTAATATTAATTAACAAGTAAATTACACTTTATTAAGCACGACTCACGAGTGACTGGCAACCGAGCATTAGCCTAGAAACGCCGAATGAAACACCTAATTTCGTTTTTATTTATTTACCAATGGAACATTCAAATATTTTTTGGAAGAGGCTTTTTAGGAAGAGCCTAAATACAAAACGGGCTATTACTTAGACTCATAACGGATAATATCATATTAAAAAAAGAATTGTATATGGGCTTGAAAAGCCCAACAATCCTCAAATGCAAAGTTCAAGAACTCTTAAGATTGCTTTCGAGCACTGGTAACATCAACATGGTTGGTTAACTGAAATCAAGTGAGTGAGCTTCCGAAGACTTAAATACAGTCCAACAATGTATAAGTTTGATTGTATGAACACATAAGTAGTGTTCGAAGGGTTTTGTAGGAATATTCCAAAAGTACAAGAAAGTCAACATAATTAGCTGTCTTGGTTTGTCTACACACTGATGTCAACATATTAAAAAACATAAACTTTCAAAGAAACTAGAAAGAAAGAAAGTTTGAAAATGAGTGACGTGCTGTTTTGTCTGCTTAAGTGGAGAGTATAGTAAAATTTATAGGAAAGTTCGAAGAAAATTCAAAGATGGATCAGAAAAAAGAAAAAGTAGTTATATGTATATATATATTGCAGAAGAAGAAAGTTTTGGTATGCAGAGAAAGAAAAAAATGAATTCATATCCTAAAATGAAACATGATGTGTTCTTAAGTTTCAGGGGCAAAGACACTCGTGACAACTTCGTAAGCCATCTCTGTGGCTGTCTACGTAGGAAACGGATCAAAACCTATTTATTTGACGAACTACCAATGGAAGAGAGATATGAAGAGTCGTTGAAAGCAATCCAAGTATCAAGACTTTCAGTGATTGTCTTCTCGGAAAACTTTGGGGATTCGAAATTTTGTTTTAGATGAAGTCGTAGCTATCTTGAAATGCAAAGAGAGATTTGGTCAGATTGTGATACCTGTCCTTTACCATCTCGATCCTCTCGACATTGAAAACCAGACAGGAAGCTTCGGAGACGCCTTTGCTAAGCGACGGGATAACTCCGAGCAGCTTCAAGAATGGAGAGCTGGTTTTACAGAAGCCATTAATCTCCCAGGATGGAGTACTACTCACGTCAGGTATAACTATACAATTCATACTTTTGATTATAATGCGTATTAGCCTTTCATAGATATATATATGCTTTTTTAATTTTTGGCCAGAGATGAGGAGATGTTGGTGAATGAGATAGCTCGTGACATTGAAAGCAAACTTCTAAGAGCTTCACGAACAAAGGTCATGGTTGAGTGGTCTCTAGTCGTAACCAACCTCATGTTGGAGATACCGGCTTGTGTATTCGACCAAATCTCTTCAGTGAATAAACCTTTGTATGCGCTCGCTGCTATGTCAATGTCATTGCTGTCTTGTCTGCTTTGCCTCGTGGATCTTTTACACAAAGGCAGAGTTGAGAGAGTCTTGTGGAAGTGGAGTTGGCCCATGCCTTGGTTTCACTATCCAACTCAGAGATCAAACAGATTTGGTAGCTTTCCAGATATGGTAGGATTGGTTTGCGCCTTGTGTCAAACCATTATCACAGCCGTTAACTATTCGTTCATCAAACATAGTCATGACTCTCCCATCAAATTCTCGGTTTGGCCAATCATGTTTGCGCTTGGTTTAGTTTGCACTTTGTTTATCAAAAGATCTACCTAGTTAGCTCTCTAAGTAATTGAATGTGGATAATAGAGAAGAGAGGGGTACCAGAGATTCAAATTTCACCACAAATCGAATATACATTTTTTTTTGTGTGCAAACATTGTTACATATAAATTACAAAGGGCAATTTGTACACAAGAAAACGTTTTGTAATTCTATTTGCTTACAAAGACATGAAAACAGAACCACAATGATAGGATTTGACACTAGAACGATGTGTTGTCCTCTTTGGGTTCAAACCGGAAGATGACTCCATCATTCTTCACGAAATCATGTGTCGTGTGATCCACCTCCTGAATCATCATCAACACAAACAATATCAACACAAGTCACTTATTCACATATGTTGTTACATTAATTATAACTAACCTCACACACTCACATTTGTGTTGCTGAGCTCTAAGTTGTAAAAGTCCATGGAGCTGTCTCTGAACAGCGGTCCAGCATGCCATGTACCACGGTTCAGTTTCACAAACTTGGGTCCAGAGACCTTGAACACGCGCACCTCTTCAACCGAAGGAGGAGCGTACAAGTGACCATCAGAACCTGATGCTACGTTACCGGCTCTTCTTCCTCCGTCGTCTTCGATAAGAGACGGCTTAGCGACTCCAAGATACCAGACGTGACCTCCTATTGATCCCAGACACTGTGTCACGTTCGCGTGATGAGTGATGTTGGAGAAGCCAAAGGATCGATCTTTGAGCCGCATTATATAGAAACTAGGAGTAACAAGGAAACTCATGATTATAAAACAAGAACACAAAACTGAAACCAGAGCATGTAGTAGTATTAATCTCAGGAATTGTAACTAATCAACACAGCCATTTGGTACCAAAATCGCATATAATCGAACATTAGTATCAAAGATGACGAATTTGCAAAAATTAACAAAGAATCGGATTGGTATAAGAACACATTTCATTAAAAAAATTCGGAAATCGGAGAAGGTACCGTGGGGTTCCTCTGGAGAGATCCAATTGAGCGTCGTCGGGACCGAAATGATCACCATCACGAGAAGCTTCGATGACTTGTCCATAATCAGCGAAGCTCTCAGAAGTAGCTTCGATCGGGATCAGATTCACTTTCACCGGAGATTCCGCCATTGTTGTTCTTCCCACCACAAGAAAAATGAAAGTGGAGATGACAAGATTTTACGACTTTATCCAGACCAAAAAGTATAGAATCAAGAGAAAACACCAGATATATGTGGGCTTTCTTATTAATTTTAAAAGTATGGAGTTAATATGGAAATGAATGAGAAAATAAGGGGTCTGTTTTGCATTTTCTTGATTCTAGCGAGAGCTTCATCGGACGACGTAGTTACACTTCTCCGTCTTCACCTTCGTCTTCATCATCATCACAGCATTTTGAGCTTAGAGAGAAAATGAGGTTTTACTCAGCTCCAGACCAAATTCAGCCAGGTCTCTTTCTTCTCATCTCCTTTATCATTCTCTCGATCTATGTCGTGAAACTTTGCTTAGATCCTCGTCATTTCGATATGACACAGAAGTATCGTTATTTGATTGTTGGTTTCTGTTCTCATGGACCTCGGAAAATTCTGCCGAAAATGTGAGATTGTTAGGATATTCGATCAAGAAAAAGAGAAACTTTTGTGACGATCGATTTTCTTGAGGCTTACTAATCACAGAACACTGTACTTCGCTTTCCAAGCCACAATTAGATCTTGACACCATTTTAGTGTGACAATGTTCGTCTGATCTTGAGCCTATTTCTACTTGTTCACTGATACTTGCTACTCCACATGTGCTCGTTATTGGAGTAATTTGCAAAATTCGAACATACCAGTCTCTTGAGCCATGTCTTATCTGGTTCTTGTTTTGTTGCCTGTGTTACGAAGTGATTTATATACGTTTCTTTTGATTTGTTCAGGAACCTGAACCCATTGACTGAGAGTTGTATAGAAAAAATATTGGGTCTGGCATAGTGGACATGTACAAGGAAGCTTATGACAGTAAGTAAACTAGTAATTATTTTCCTTATTACTAGTTTTGTGTTAAATTGTTAGGTAGATCTGCGTGTTTAGTTTACTCTTATACGTGAATGTTCAGTACTGGATCTGCTTGGCCCGGCACTGAAACTGGGTTTGTTGCAGTCATTTGTTTCCTTTTGTGATTGTGCCAGAAACTGTGGGTATATAGTATAGTAGAGAAGTAAAACGAAGCATTTTTTTATTGCTGAAGTTGTAAGGAAGGAGAGAAGAAACGTATGAGAACCGAAGTTGAATCTCTTGTTGATCTGCACTGCAGGCATTGAAATCCCCAAGTAGGTGGATACTGTAACTCCTCAAGCCCAAGTTTGATGCTTTGGTGAGGAACACCATAGAAACTAGATTGATATGATATGTGAATTGTTAAGTTTCGTATGTTATGTTTAGAGTGACTCTTGTGATTGTGTGACTAGTTGGTGGAACTGAAAGAAGCAGAGCAGAAATCCCTAAAGGAATCTGAGCGGCTTGAGAAAGAAATCGTTGATGTCCAAGAGATTAGCGTAAGTAATTTCGAACGAATTTATGATATAAGATAAGACAGGGATTCTTATGGTATAATATATATATACTATATGGTTTGTGTTGGTGGGGATCACAGAAAAAGCTAAGCACAATGACGGCGGACGAGTACTTTGAGAAGCATCCAGAACTGAGAATGAAGTTTGATGATGAAATCGTCAACGATAACTGGGGATACTGACCATACCATTACTTGCAAACACACACTTTGCTCTTAAGCTGTGCAAGAAGATCCTTCTTCACTGCTCTTTTGTTTGATGCTACTTTGGCCTCGTTTATTTTCTCTTTCGAATACGAACAACCGCTTCACAATAAAAGCTCTTACAACTTTGAAGTAGATTCACCACACATCACTCCAAGTTTTGAAACAATTGCATTAGGTTATCTACAACTAGACAATTATGGACACAAGAAGCAAACAAACTATAAACAATTGAGGCAATTTTGGTATCTGGATCACGTGACTAGACGGTCTATTATGAAGTTCGTCGTAACAGTCGAAACACGAATCGATATTAGAGAAGGGCAAAAAAATCAACTTTTTTAAAAAACCAGAGTTTTCTAATGAGTAGGATGATGAAACTGTCTTCGATACTCAACAAAACAATCAACCTTTTCTTTTTTTTGTTTTTTGTCAAAATTTGCAAAAGTATTCATTTAACAAAAAGAGAAGAGAATCTCTGGCTTAAGCTGCCCCCAAAAACTTCGTAGCAGCAAAGCAAAACAAAGAGCCCATTTTAGCAAAGCTTCTTCTGACCAAGCTCATCAGCCATCACAGCTTCCTCGTTCTTCTGCATAGCTTTCTTGGCTAGTTCATAGCCAGCAAAGTTCATGGCACCAAGAGGAGCCACCCAAAAGAATCTCGGGACTGCTCCTTTGAACAAACCAAGCGGTCCCTCGTGACGCAAAATCGAGAAGGCCACCATTGACATTGAGACCGGTCTCCCTGGTGTTGCAGTCATCATCCTCGTCTTCATCACATCAAATGGCGTTGTTACGACTGCTGCTATACCCCCTGACACAGCCCCTACCGCTATTGTCTCCCATGCTTCAAGCTCTCTTCCCAGCGCTTGCGCCACCATCTACAATAACCCACACAAACCGCAATCAAATATTACAATTACAGCCTTCACCCTTTTGATTATCTCATCATTTCGGTTTTGTTTACCTTTTTGGACTCTGCATACAGTCCCATGCCAACAACGTACAGTGGAACTTCCCGGCAAAGAGTTGCGCCTGTCCCACGGAAAAACCCACTTGGACCATCTTGCTTCCACGTCCCTACAATGGCTTCCCCTACATTGTTAAACATGCCAGCCTGCAACCGTTGCTTCAGCACCTCACATGGGATCCGCACAGCTGTGCCTAATAGCGTGCTGCAGAATGACGCAATCGATTGAACCTGCATCAAATGCTCAACATTGCTTATCGAGTACAAAAACACAAGGATCAAATGCAGAGGATGCAACTACTAGAACTTTATAACAAAGGAGATACACTAATAGTGAGTGTACAGTGTTATACCATGTGACAAAAAGCATTAAGGAAGCCAAGTACTGCAATGAAATAGCCTAAATATTGCATTTTGCAGGACGCCTCTAGGACAAAGGTTGCTTACTAAATGTCATATAACTATGGAGGACAAAATTAGTGCTGAGGTTTCTAGGAAAATAATGTGATGTTTGGGTTTTCTAGAGGATAACTGCAGTTTTGAAGTCTTTTTATACTAACTTCTTCAGCAACGCAACATCTATAGGAACTCAAACTGAAAACATACACTTGAAGCACAAAATCAGAATCACCTGAATTTCTGGGAGATTGGGAGCAAAATTGATCAACACTAGTTTGCTTGCTTCGAATATTCCTGTCCGCAGGCCATGGCTACAACGACGAAAGAGATTAAGTCACATTGGAAATGAAAATTTAACAAGTAAACATAACTTTGACGTGAAACAATTGAAAAGACCTTGAAAACTGTCCAAGAATTGCTGGAATAGAACCCCTATATACTCCTCGGACACCAATCTCTGGAAGCTTCGCTATTACTTCAGGAAATGATAAGGTTGATGCTTGCACACGTGTCTGGCAATGAAAGTAATAACGAATTAGTCAAACCAACAGTACGTCACACGAGACCAGGCAGAATTATCTGCGTACTACATCTATCTAATATGCAGATATCATATATATCCTGATGGTCCCGAGTTTTGTCGTAGCCTAGTTCTCACCTAAACTAGTCCAAATGGAGGACGTACTCATATTCATCTGCAAGAGCAACAAGAGGACTCACCTTGACTGTGTCAATCGGATGCATTAAAGAAGTGGAGAGAGCAGAGGCAAGCCCTCCCGCTAATGCAGACTTCAGAACATCTCCAGCAGGTAAGGCAACAGGGGGTGCAACAGCAACAACAGTCGCAGCTTCAAACCAGATGTTACTATACACGTAAAAAGTAGCACCAGTCACCATTGGTAGGACAACAAAAGTTACAGATTTAACGTGTTAAAGGGAAATCGCATGAAATAGTCAAATTGGCATTGTACTCAGACTAATGGGGAACTAATCAGGCAAACTCCAAACAGTTCTAGTCAAATTGGCATTTACTCAGACTTCTTAGCACAAATACAAACTGCTACAAAATAAAAACATCATTTTGTTCGACAACAAAGAATAATACTTACCGAGGATCATCTTGTAACCGCTCATATGGCAGCAAAACCATGAAGTTACGAAAATGTCCATATGAGATAGACTCCTCCGTATCAACCTTCAAAAATTTCATCATCGCTATAGCATTTTCTTCATTAGCAGGAAGTCCTGCGTTATTGAGTGATGCCAATATCTCACTCTTCTGAAGAGTGCCAGACTTGGTCAAACATAGAGAGGTATAGGCACGGAGGATGGTTGGCTCCTTCTGTTCCATCAAGGACAAAAATTGCTTCCAACCAAACGATTTCGAGAAAAGGTGACTCCTAGCTCGTCGCATAAATTCCTTGGCGTATCTTCTGGGCAGTTTTCTTCTCCTCATTGCAATTTCCAGATCTTCCAAAGTTACCTTCCCATCACCATCTCTATCTAATTCTTCGAAGAATCTCCTGCCTAGAAGCCACAGAGAGTTATATTGGAAGAAACGGGGTAAGTTATAGTACAGGAAGTAAACTCCCAATGTCCATCCATTTTTAAAAGCAAATAAGAAATGTGTTCCTTATAGTAGCAGACGATCCATTACTTAGTTCATGATGAAGATATGATAGCAACAACATGTATTTCCTTTCAATGGTTTCAACCAACACAAGATTTCCCCAACAGTCAACTTCAACGTTTAGCAAAATGAGAAATGATATGATATGCAATGCCAGACACAATGCTCACAGGCAAGGTTCTTATCTTAATAAAGCTGGAGGATTCATACCTTCAGACTCGGTGTATCTGAAAAAGTCCTGAACAGAAATAAGTTTTTTCTTGTCTGGATGGTCTGCTGAAGGTCGTCCTAATTGCGGTAAAAGCTCAATAAGTTCAGTCAATGAAATCGTGGACAGTGTCGATTTCAAGCGCTCCACATTTGACAAAGGTATACTCAGTAGACCACTTGCCAGGTTCTGTGGATGATCAACTGCACTTTCCTCCTTACCATTAGCAGTACTAACATTACTTTCATCACCATCTTCACTCACCGGAGATGTCAGGCCAACTATTCCTGACGCTACGTCTCCAACTCTGGCAAACATCAGGTTCCCGAGGAATCCATTAACGTCGAGTTTTCTAGCCTCCCATATGTTAAAGATAAGTGGACTATCATTTGAACTAGCTTCCTTGGAACAACAAGACTCAGTCTTTGAACTGTCCTGCATGAACTGGTCCAGCTTCTGGAGATTCTGAGTCAACATTTCGACCACAAAACCCATGGCGCATTCAATCGAAAACGGGTTCTCTTCCTTTCCTGCAGATTTAGCTGGCTGGTTCCTCGTTTCTCTCCCAAATGAAGAAACCTTTGATTTAAGGCTCTGTTTACGTGAATGAGAAAGACTGTTCTCATCATCACCGGCTCTGTGAATCCTCTTCTTGCCTATCTTAAAGGGAACGGGAAAAGCATGGACAAAGCCACTGACCAACAACGACCAAGTCATGGCAAACTTGAAGCAATTCGTACAAGAATCATCCTCTTTCTCCAAGCACTTATCTTTCTTCACCGCCTCGTTTCTACGACTCAACTTCTCGCTCGCTAAATTCGGGGAGAACATGCCAAAGAGTGACTTCACAGGGATCTTGATAGACAAACCTTTCTTCCTCTCTTCACTCACCACACACTGAACATTAACATTTTCCTCCGAGTCGGGACTAGCACAAATCCGCTTCTTCCTGTTTCTTCCAGATGATCTCAAAATCAAACCCAGATCCTTCTCTTTGCTTATCCAGCAACTCTCGATGTCCCTCGCCGCCTTTTTCACCCCTAGCTCGATCGGGAGAAATGCATCTTTCACTACTTGGATTGAATTGAATATAGTCTCGATAGGATCATTCGATGACACCATTGCGTCACTCGTTCACTAAACCATTCAATGTATACCAAACGCAGCACAAGATCGAATCCAGAAGACGAACTTGTTAACCCTAAAAGTAAAAACGGACGAATCGAACTTTTAAAAAAGAAACCCAAAGTCCCACGAAAATAAACCCTGAGAAAGTGCTAGAGAGGGATATCGAGCGATGGATTCTCCGAAATGGAATCGAGATGAAATCAGAAGGAAAGAAATGGTGGCAAAGGCGATTCGAATATCAATCTGGCCATTAAGCGAGAGCTGAGAGAGAGAGAGAGAGAGAGAGAGAGAGAGAGAGAGAGAGAGAGAGAGAGAGAGAGAGAGAGAGAGAGAGAGAGAATCAGAAGAAACGAAAAGGAGAAAAACGAGAGCTAAGCTTTTTTAATGGATTGAAACTGAGAGAGCAGATGTGGTGGGAGTGGGAAGAAGAAGAGGAGGCAACCATGAAAGGATGATGACCCCGCTTTGTGTTTTTAGCATTTAGTTTCCTTCTTTCCTTCTTCTTCTTTGATTTTATTCTTTTAAAAAATAAAAATCGGAATAGGATAAAGACATGGATATTTTAATATTTTCGAATTTTCATTCCATTCAATGGATAAATAATGAAATCATGACCAGGTCTCACAAATCAATTTTTAGACCTTTTAGCAATCAATAATTAAAACAAAATGAAGGAGTCGAAATTTATTTAGCAAGAGCTTATATTATTATTATTGAAGTTAAACAAACAAAAAAACAAAGTGGAGCTATTAGTTTTGTGGATAATTTACAAAGAAGGATAAAAAAAAAATAGTTTTGTGGAGGGAGTTGTGAATGGATAGAGGCTGACGTAAGACGTTGCTGGACCTCATGACACGTGGACTTGGATTTCCATTAATGGATTTTATGATGTGTTAAAAGACTAAAACGCCCTTTTGTTTTACAATGGCTCAAGTGAAAGAAAGGTCTGAGACTGATGAGAGTCTTTACTCTATAGCGTCACAAAGAGTAAGAGACCACAAGGCTTATACTTAATACTTTTCATACAATCTCCACTATAGCAACAGAAACAAAAAAAGACAGAGATGATTGTAATGGAGTGTTTGATTAAGAAATGCATCAAAAAGCGGAACCACTGCCTTTAGTTTTGCCGAGCATCACGTCTTTAGCTTCATTGATCTTAGAAGCCAAGAAATGGCTACCACCTGCATCTGGATGGTTTGCAACCATCACTTTCCTGTGTGCTTCCTTCACTTTCTCCGCCGGAACATTCTCCCTGTGTGTGATTTTCAATCCCAAACACACATTTAAAAAAAAAACAATGTACACTTTCCTCAATGAAACTATTGCTAATGCAAGCAAGTTTGATCACAAAACTAGTAATGTTAAACTTGTTTTCACCTGATGCCAAGAATAAGAGCAGCTTCCCTTTTCGTCATCGTAGGCTGAAAACCGCCGTCATAGAATTTCTTGATTTTGGGCCTTGGTGGTCTTGCCTTGAATGCTTGCCATGCTTGGATTCCATATCTACCAGCAAGTGCAGTCGCAGCTACTGCAAGTCCAGCCAAAAACGGTGACGCCTGATGTAGCAAACACATAAACCAAATTATACATTTGTAATGCTTAATTTATCATCATCATCATCATTCATTCGTTGTTCTTCAGTTATTAAGATCTATAGATAAGATAGCAAATGCTACTTTGTTGCAAAGAGGACTGATCTAAAGAGAATCCAAAGGGAACTAGGACACACACATATGCATTCATGAAAGAAGTTTGAAACTAAGAAGTAGATATCAGACTCTTCACGGGGATTAGCTTATATCGTAGCTTAACTCAAAACCAAGCACAGACTCTTTCAAGGATCTTTGAAGAAAGACTCAATTCATTGTAATTTTGAAAGAGAAGAGCCAAAGACAGTGCCAAACTCAAAGACTCTTCAAAGATCTTACAAGAAAGACTCGTTTCCTATCACTAAAAGAGAAGAGCCAGAGTATTAACCGAATGATCGATTTAGCTTAAGAATATCCTGCAAAACCATTATCTACTGAGTGATTCAAATGAAACGCCGATTAATCTCACAAATCCGGTGTGAACATGATTTGTGAATAAAGGAATGCCAAAAAACAAGACTTGAGCAGACCCATATAAGCACCAATCAGATTGGCTCAATTGTAAAAGTTCTCCAACATCGAATCGCAGGATAATTTTTAAAACGAACGATTGAACAGTATTAAACAGAGCCTAATTCATGAAATGAAATCCAGGACCGAAAGCAGGTGGCAAATCTGAATTTTAGCGGGACGAACAAAACTAACAGATGAACCCTAATTTCTGGGAAGAGAGTAGTGCTCCGAATTTACCATTCAGAAATCTCGGATTCTTCGTTTCATCCACAGATTGATTTGGAGTCGATTTTTTCAAGAATTGGATTTGCGAATTCGTCAGTGTTAACTCACCGGTGCCGTCAAAGCTCTCCGATCGCTGTAACCAAAATGGGACTATAATCATGAAAACCGGTTTTTAAATTCCAACCGGTTCACGTCTGATCAATTTTTGTTTTGGTCAACTAATTTCGGAATGATTCTTACAAATGCCAAAGTTTCAAGCATGTATTACACAAGACCATAGAAAATGAGCAGACCATTGCTATTATTTCTTGTATGTAATCAAGCAGTGAGAATTAACCACCAAAAGAGCTTAACTAACATTTTTTAAACTCTTTTCTTATTTGCATTTTCGGGTACTAGCGATGAGAAAAGCGAGATCCAAGGATCCAAAAGAGCTACAAACCCAACAAAAATCCACACCAACAAAGAGAGAGAGAGTATGTTAAAGAAAAGGAAAATGGAATTTGGATCACAAGTTCTTGAAAGCAGAGTCATGTGCATCCTTTGGAGGAGTGAGCTTAGCCAACAATGCCTTGTTAGGGCAATGATCTGCATCCACAAAGTAGTAATTCCCTTCCGCCTTGAAGCTCACAAACGGCCTTTGCGTGTCCGGATAACGTATGTCTGAGAATTTCAGCGTCTTTGGGGTGAATGTGGCAAGCCAAGTCATCATCTCGACCTCGAACGTGTCCGAACCAGGCTGCCACCTGAGCTTGTGCACGTAAGGGCTAACGAACCAGTGGAGAGCAGCGGTTGTGGATGCGCTGAGGAAGATCACGGTGGAGGCAACCGCACCTTTCATGATCACGTTCAGTCCAGGCGAAGTCATGAAAGTGATGACTGGGCCGAGAGAGACAGAGAGGCAGCAAGTGGAGAGTGAGAGGAGTTTCACTTTCTTTATGGTCGATGAGATTGGTCCATAGTAAACCACACCTCCTCTTTCTCCTTCTCTCTCTTCTTTCCTATCTTGTGGTCCGATGCTGATCTTGTGCTCGTCATCATCATCCTCTCTAGTCTTTGTTCCAAATGATGATGCCCAGCTTCTTCTCTGGTTAAAGGATGAAACTTCGGGGAATCTAACCTTAGGGATCACTGATGATGATGTTGATGATGATGACCATGTTCCTGCTACTGAACGATGATGATATCCTGAAAAAGAAATAAGAATGACTAATCGGTAAGACACTAACAAACATCGAAGATCTATGCTAGATCTGATCCTTTGAACAATTTTGACTTTTTGATGGAATCATGGCAAGACGATATCAATGCATCGGACCCAGGCTCAAAATGCTTCAACGGAGCTGGGAAAGATCCTAGCTTTCTATGTTTTCATCCAAATGAAGCTAAGGTGGATCATGCTCAAGCTCAAGTCAATTTCAAATCCATTGAAGCTTATAGGATTAGGTCAGATGAAGCAAAGTACTTTTACCATATAATCGGAAAAGGGAAAACAGAATCACGAGAGAGGTTTTAGCATTTGGATTGAAAACCCCATAAAGCCAATAGCTGCCATTTCTACTCTTAAAAACCGTACGAACAAACCTGAGATGAAGGTGGAGGAAGAGAGACGCCGAGATTGGGAGCGAATCAAGTGAATCAAAGCTGATCTTCCCATCGCCGTTTCTGTTGCTCTCAATTGCTTGCAGGAGTCAAGTCCCCCAAATGAATTTTGTAGGGTTTTAGAGATTGATTTTTAATAATTTTTATATACTATGTGCAATTGCTCAGAAAAGTTTTTGTGGTCCAGTGGTGAGAGTCATTTCTTTTGAAATACTAAGGGTAACGTGTTCGATTCTCTGTTATTCACACTTATTACACCTTTCTTTTTCTTTTTCTTTTTCAGTCTGCTAAAAGTTAATGTCGTATAATCTGTAATTTCGAATGATGAAGATAGAAAGCGGATGATGATACGGACATGGCATTGGTAAGGTCATCGTCACATCGTGGGGGTGGTAGTTAAAAAATTGTCAATGCAGTAAAAATTACAAATATAACTGCTCTTACTATCATCATCACTTATGATTCTGTTGAAGTCATTGATATCTTCACCACTATCATTTTCCATTTGGATCATGGCTCGACGATTCCTTGTCGTCTTGTTCCTTGTTCTACTCCCTTTCGCGTCTTGTTGCAGAGACGAGCAAGAAAAGGACCGAATCTCACAGCTTCCAGGCGAGCCCAACGATGTCTCCTTCTCTCACTTCTCTGGTTACATCACGGTCAACGAGTCAGCAGGTAGAGCGCTCTTCTACTGGCTCACCGAGTCACCGACGAGTCAACACCCCGAGTCGAAGCCGCTTGTCCTCTGGCTCAACGGTGGCCCTGGCTGCTCCTCCCTTGCTTATGGCGCCGCCGAGGAGCTTGGACCCTTTAGGATCAATCCTGATGGCAAAACCCTTTACCACAATCCCTACGCTTGGAACAAATGTATCTCTCCCTCCTCTCCATTTCTCTCTTATCAATTTCTCACTCTGAAATTTTTCTTAAATTAACTCTCTGTTCTGCTCTTCCTCAGTGGCGAATTTGCTATTCCTTGAATCTCCAGCTGGTGTTGGGTTTTCGTATTCGAATACAACTTCCGATTTGTACACTGTCGGGGATCAGAGAACCGGTATAAAGCTCTCCACTTTGACCTTTCTCTCTGTCTCGAATCGAATCGAATTCATCATTCATCTCACTGTTTCTGTGTGATTTTGCAGCTGAAGATGCGTATGTGTTTCTTGTGAAATGGCTTGAGAGGTTTCCGCAATACAAGCACAGAGAATTCTACATTGCTGGAGAAAGCTATGCAGGTTCTTGTTATTGATTTTTCTACTAAATCTGAAGACTTTTCTCTTTAGTCTAGCTAGCTAGCTTCACAGAGCAATTCTCACTTCCCTTTGTAGGTCATTATGTTCCTCAGCTGTCACAAATTGTTAATCGGAAACGCAATCCGGCTATCAACTTCAAAGGCTTCATTGTAAGCAATTAAAGCACAGAGAATCCATTCGAACCGTAAAAATTTCATTTTTATTTGTGTGTGTGTGTGTGTGTGTGTGTGTGTGTGTGTGTGTGAGATCCAGCTCCAAGTGTGGATTTTGTTGCTATTTCAGGTGGGGAATGCTGTGATTGATGATTACCATGATTTCGTGGGGTTATTTGAATACTGGTGGAGTCATGGGTTGATATCTGATCTCACTTACCACAACTTAAGGATCACCTGTGAGTTCGTATCATCCGAGCATCCTTCCCCTGAATGCAGCAAGGCCATGGAAGCTGCAGACAAGGAGCAAGGGAATATTGATCCCTATAGCATTTACACTATCACTTGTAAGCAGGAGGCTGAAGCTCTCAGGTCCCGCTTCTTGAGGGTTCGTCATGTGAGTTTTCATCAATGCCCATCACTTTTAGCTACCATTCCTATCTTTTTAGCTTTTTGACAGTTTTGTATCCAAACAGCTCAAGTGGTGTACTTTTTAGACTTTACTAGGGACATGACAAGAGAGTCAATTCTTAATTTGTTGGATTGCCTGATTATAGCATCTCTTTGTTATTCCAGATACAAAATGACTAATATATGAGCCTGTCAATAACCTTATTTCTCATTTCAACAAATAGATAGATGGTGCACTGGTTAGTCTAAGAAGGTAGAATGGAGATTACATGGTATATGGACTGCAAAGAAATTTCAGATTCACTCTCTCTCTGCTACTTGAATCCAATTCGTTGATTTTGCTTTATGGCTGCTTCTCTAGGTGCAAGTTAGTGTACCAAGACACAGACTATATAGGTAGTAGATTTTAACAAATTTCTAGTCTTGCTAAAAAATTTTTCCCTTTAACTCAGCCATGGATGTGGAGAGCATATGACCCTTGCACAGAGAGATACTCCGGCGTGTATTTCAATTCTCCGGAGGTTCAAAAAGCTATGCATGCTAATACAACCGGACTTGCTTATCCATGGAAAACGTGCAGGTAACAAACACATTACTGGCTTATCAAATTTACTCTCTTGTTTACATGTGCAGTGACATATAGTTGTGTTGTTTTAGTGACGTAGTAGGAGAAAAATGGACAGACTCTCCTATATCTATGCTTCCAATCTACAAAGAACTCATCGCTGCAGGTCTCAGGATATGGGTTTTCAGGTATATCTAATTCTCCTTCTTATCAACTGTCTTGTATCCTGATTTGGTACTGTGTGATGATATTTCGTTCCATAAAACTGGATGCAGTGGAGACACAGATTCAGTGGTTCCCGTGACTGGAACACGATACTCCATTAGAGCCCTCAAGTTACCACCAGTCTCCAAATGGTACCCTTGGTACGACAATGGACAGGTACAGAGGAATCGACAAAACAAAAACTTTGTTTCATTTCTGGCTTCTGCGGGATTATCTAATGTTATAAGTGTGAAACTACAGGTTGGTGGATGGTGCCAAGTTTACAAAGGGCTAACTCTGGTGACAATACATGGAGCAGGACACGAAGTACCTCTTCACCGACCTCGTCGAGGTTTTCTTCTTTTTAAGTCGTTTCTCGACAACAAGCCAATGTAAGTTTTAGAAATCACGCCCGTTACAGGACCAGAGTTTCAGTTCATTGGCACTGCTAGCACAGAAACCTTCTGGTTCTGTCTTCTGTGAACTGTCTTATGCAAATGGTAACAATTTGCAGATTAATGTGTTCTTCTCTTTGTTCATTGTTTACTTTAAAAGCTTTGAGTAAATATTAATTTAATTGATATGATGTTAAGACGAAAATAATAGTGAGTGTTGTCTATCTGTCGGTGTGTGTGTTGCTTTAGCTGCCTGCTTCCATTAAATTAAGGCTTTCTGTTGCTTTTCTTGGTACACAAGAAAACGAGTAAGACACGTTTTAATCCTATTTAATATACCTAAAAGGATGTCTAATTTTATGGAATGCATTTAATAAGCCACATGATCATCTTTGGGATTGCTCACCTTATGCTCTTTTTTCTTTTCTTGAATATCCATTGTTGTGAAAGAAAGTTCATTCAAGAAGTCACACTCTCTTGTTGATTTTTCTTTTAAGAAAATCGTAAAATCTGGACTAGAGCCTGATGAAAAATGAGATTATTAGATTTTATTGAACCGCTTTTTATTAACCAAATCTTGGAGATTAGAATTGTAAAAGAAAAAAAAATTAGAAAACAGAAACAAAAAGGTCGGACAAAGGGAACCCAAATTAAAGGTTATGGTCCAACAAGATCGGCATTAGGTGAAACTAAAGTGAAAAAATATGAACGGACAAACCATTAAATGTCAAACAAAATCAGCTTACCAATTCAAACCAACTCAGATAACAAATTATTTTGTGATTATGTATTTTAAATGGTTATGGTTTGTAAGGACTTGCAAATCCCACTTTATATCATAAGATATATATATACGTCTACACCTCTCCATGTGAAATACATGACTAAATTACGGTGTAAGCAAGCAATATATATCGAGCTTTTAATTAGTCAAAGCTAATATAGAATAAGAATCATTCACCTTCATCATCAAAACATGAAAACCTTTAAATTGAACAGAGAAGTTGACTGTTACGACAATGACTACGTAACGATACAAATGAATATAATAAACGCAATGTAACCATCAAGATGAGCTATGCATACAAGATTCCAATGAATCAGAACACACAATAATGTACGTAGAAGGTGGAGTTATATACGAGTAGTCAAAAATACTCGATCTACAAGTAAGCTACTTTGACCATATGCATCATAATCAAACAGTATAAGAATATATTATATTAAATACACCACATGATACCCAAAAATGGCATAAGTTGACAACGACCTTCGTTTTAAAAAAATTGCCAAATTATTCTATAAAACCATCGAGGTGAAAAAATGAGAGACTCCCAAGAAACACAAACAAAACAAGAAACAAGAAACACTCTCTTTCTTTGAAGATGATGATCATAGAAAACAGAAAGTGGGGTAAACTATATAAATGTATGTCTTTATTATGCATGGCCATTGCATTATTAGACGTAGCAGTGAGTAGTAGTGATGATGGTAAGGAGCAAAAGATGAAGGACAAGATCATCTCTTTGCCAGGCCAACCTCCTCAACTCAATTTCTCTCAATTCTCTGGCTACGTTACTGTTGATTCCTCTGCTGGACGAGCTCTCTTTTATTGGCTAACCGAAGCCCCAAGGCCCAGTGGCACCAAGCCACTAGTCCTATGGCTCAATGGTGGTCCTGGATGCTCCTCCATTGCCTACGGTGCATCCGAAGAGGTTGGTCCATTTCGGGTTAATCCAGACGGAAAGACTCTTCATCTAAATCTCTATGCTTGGAACAAAGGTACTTTTTTGTAATTTGATTTTGTATTTTATATGAAACACATTAATCTTTTAGTTAATCATAATTAACTAGTTAATTCAATCAAAATTGTATCGCTTATGCAGTGGCGAATCTGTTGTTTTTGGATTCACCTGGGGGAGTTGGTTTCTCTTACACAAACACGTCCTCAGACGAACTAACCGTGGGAGACAAAAGGACAGGTCTACTATATAATAGACCTATACTTTCATGATTATAAACAGTGTTAGTTAATTACATGATTAACTAATATATATGATATGAATTATGAAATGTGGGGACAGGGGAGGATGCATACAGATTCTTGGTGAGGTGGATGGAGAGGTTCCCTGAGTATAAGGAACGGCCATTTTACATCGCCGGCGAGAGCTATGCCGGTACTTCCATATATTCCTTCATTTGATTTTTACCTTTTTTCTAATTCCTTGTTAGTTATTTCTTTTATTCATTAAATACACTACTTGCTAGTTGGTAAACTATAATTAAAGATATTTTGTCATTTGAGATTTTTACATTTGCGATCCAACAATATTAAGCAGTTGAACCAAATGATGGTGATATTTAGTACCATAGCAGGTTTATGTACAAAAACATTGAAGAAATAATCGGTTTTATGAAATCTAACCCAAAAAAAAAGAGAATCAACAACCCAATTGACTTTTCTTTTGTGACCAACTTAAGTCTTTAATGACAACATATGAATACGAAGATTGTGGTATTGTGACGTTGCAGCTAGAACTACCATATATTAATACGACCCATATGAAACGATTTGCTTAATGGTCAATAATGACAATATGATCTTATTGCATTGGGTTTTGTTGTGTTTGGTCATCAATCAGGACATTATATTCCTGAGCTTGCTCAATTGATCGTCAACCGTAATAAGGGTAACAAAAAACCCATAATAAATCTACAAGGGATCCTGGTAATAATTTCTTTTATATATATATATATATATATATATATATATACACATTTGAAAATCAACTACAATATTGAATACTAAAATGAATGATTGTGTAAAATATGAAAAATAAAAGATGGGGAATCCTCTAGTGGATGATTACAATGACAACAAAGGGATGCATGAGTACTGGTGGAACCACGGGCTGATATCGGACGAAAGCTACGTTGAACTGACCAAATGGTGCCTCAACGACTCCATCCTCTTCCCCAAACCCAAATGCAACAATGCCCTGAACCAAGCCTTCTCTGAGTTTGGTGACATCGACCCTTACAACATCAATCGCCCTGCTTGCACCAAAGATTCATCATCGAATGAATGGAGGCAAGCATGGAGATATAGAGGGAACGATGAGTGCGTCGTGGGATACACACGCAAGTATATGAACGATCCCAATGTGCACAAATCTTTCCATGCCCGTCTTAACCGCACTTCTTGGACTCCTTGCAGTCGTGTGATAAGAAAAAACTGGAAAGACTCACCCAAGTCCATGCTTCCCATCCTCAAGGAACTTCTTCAATCTCATCTCCGCATTTGGATCTTCAGGTATAATAATTAATTATGTATTTATAGGTTGGTCAAGTTTCAACTCAAAATCAAGTGACAAAACATGGACTGATCCATATTCTTTATATATTATTATTGTTCTTTTAATTCTATTATTTGTGATGAGAGATCTCTAACAAATTTTTTAATATATTTGTGTGGAATTATATGTATATATAGTGGGGACTCGGATGGAGTGTTGCCTCTAAGTGGAACGAGACATTCGATAAATGCAATGAAATTGAAGACCAGCAAAAGGTGGTATCCATGGTACCACGCACACGGCCTAGTGGGAGGATGGAGCCAAGTTTACGAAGGTGGCTTGCTAACGTACGCAACGGTTAGAGCCGCCGGGCATGAGGTGCCATTGTCACAGCCTCGTCTCGCTCTTTTCCTCTTCACACATTTCCTAGCTAATCACACACTCCCCTCATCTTCTTCTTGATTATACTTCTTTTCTTTCTCATTTTACATTTCAATGTCTCTTTCTTTACCTTTCTTTTTTCCACTTCTTTCTGTTCATTATATTGTACGTGGAGAGATATATGATTGGGCCTAATCGCTATCCTTGTGTTTAGTGTTCCCACGTTGTTCAATCTTTCATGTAGATATAAAAGATGGCATATGTAAATGGTATTTCATTTCCTCATCAAATTCTCAAAGTAGCAAATGATTTTGTAATCTGTTTGTGTGCAGTCGCAGTTATTGGAACTTATAAGACAAACATAGAATTTTGACTCTCTCTTATAAATGTTAATATAAAATAAAGTAGTACACAGAGATCAAATTCTTATTCAAAATGATACCAATCCCAAGTCCGGAACTCCTTCGCTCATAAATATATATTTTAGAGGCCCCAATCCCTACAAAAGAAACAAAAATGTTCATAGATAAATGAGTATAGTAGATTAGAGAAATATTTTTTCTTGAAAATACTTATAATTTTTCTAATCGTCAACTTGTGAAAACGTGACAAGAGAAAAGTTGTAGAACATGCGAAAACATGATCTATATATTGCAGAATCTTGAATCATGAAAATTAGAAGGTAGTTGAGAGAGCAGAAATGAATTAAAAAAACATACTTAGCTTTATCACCAAACCAGTTGTAGACGGATTTGGCGGTGGAGGAGACGGTATCGACGGCAGGACCGGCATGTTCGTTGAAGAATTTGGTAACGTCGTTCGTGGCTGTGTCTAGCCTCTGTCCGATCGTTGGAGTTTCCTCAGCCGAGACCAACAACATCATTGACACAAGCAACATCAACGACAACACCAATGCCACCTTCTTCTCCATTTTGGTCCCCAAAACGTATATTCTCTTCTTTTTTTAACAAAAAAAAAAGAGAGTTACTTCTCAAATAAAATATTTTTTTTGAGGGAAAATTTTCTTTTAAAAGTTGCATGCCTCTGTCTATATATATAACCTGCTCTTTCTGGCCATGACTATATATAACTATTAGTTTTGGCGTTGTGATTATTTTGATCAATGAAGTAAGTTAAATCTTAAAAAGTTGGATGGTAATCCATCATTTTGGTTATTAAGTAACTGAAATTAAAAATAGACTAAAAATGTCATTTTTTGTGATTGACATGTAAATATTTTTAAGAAAAGAAAAAAAATAACACATTTGGTAGAATTGTATAGATATAGTTCTTTATGGCTTATATTTGGCTACACACAGGATAGTTAACACTAAAACCAACACATAACGCTGATCTATCTCCGACTGACTATTCTCTTTTCATAATTGCTCGGCTAAAGAATATTGTTATCAAACTACAATTATTTTGATGATGATAGTGCAAATGAGATCATATGATAGTAGTAATTAATAGACGGTATACACATTGAGAACACACCACAATATTTAACACAAGTTCCACAAACAAGATTAGTCCAAGACCAGTACAGTATGTGCCTTGCTCGCCTTTCACCACCGCGAGCTTCTTTGCGCTTTGTTACCTCCATACAAACGAAAGAGACCCAAAGCAGAAATGCAAGAGATCATAACCATTCCAATGCTAGCAAGCAGCGAGATGGCAATTCCTTCACCCACTTTGTCACAGAACTTGCCATAGATTGTGCATAGCTTCATCCATTGGAGCTCTGGCTCACCAAGCTTTGCAAATGCCGCAGATTGCGCCGCTGCTGCGATTCCCGCCACCGTCAAGTACGCTACAGCCTGCTTATACATACATAACACAAAGGTTATTGACAATGCCACTGAACACAAAATCTATTAGTTGTTTGTCTTTAATACCAAAGACCAAGTCAATTTTCTTTGCTTTCATTTATCAGGACCCATCTGAGAGATCATCACCATTCTATGCAGGGAGATTAAGTACTTTTTGTTTGCTCTTTGTTCGTTTTGTAGATGGACCCTCGTTGCATATCCACTTATTTAAGACCATACCTAGAAGATTGCAACCTAAAAAATTCTGTAAATTCTTGTACCCTACCAAACATATTAAACTCATATAACCAAAGTACACTTTCTGATTGCTGAAAGAACTGAACTTTTCGACACTGAACTACAAATAGATGACCGAGCCAAGGAAAAACAGAGAGGAAACAGAGTAAATCAGAATCACCTGATCTCCGGAGAAAATGGCCCAAGCCAGAGGCTTACTGAACAAAACGCTTCCTTTCATCATACCCACAACGCAACGAACCGCGTGCAACAGAGAATAAGCCGCGGCTATACCATTGACGACCACCAAGAACCTGAAACTCGCAGAAAGATTGAAGATTTGTCGCTAAAAGCTGCGAAATTTATACAAATTTGGAATGGATTGATTGATGGGTTTTGTCATGAGGCTCCTTACACAAGCGCCTTCATGTCGGTGTATTTGGCTTTCTTCTGGATGGTGAAGATCTCTTTAACTTGGGTGTCTGTAGCAATGAGAATCGCAGCGACGAGAGCAAGTGCGCAGACGGAACACCTCAGAATCAGCTCCGTGAGTCTCACTTTCCGATCGATCAGCTTCATTTTGTTGGTCTCGACGACGTTTATGGGACTGGTTCCGACTCCTAAATAACTCATCTTTATCCCTTAATTTTGATTTATATATAATATAAAAAAAAAAAGACGGAAGAGTTTCGTCAGAAGAGGAACTGTAGATAGATAGATAGATACATTGATTTGTTGTTGGCTCCATTGTTGCTTATAAAGCACTGTTACAGAGCACCCGTGTAAAGCAACCAGTGGCTTAAAATAAATAAAAAAATTTGCATTAACTGCAAATTACAGAGACTATGAGTTTAAAGGTGTAAGAGTTGAAATCAATTTTATCTAGAGATTGATTAGTGGTACCACCCGTGACTATCCCTATATATCCAAAACCAAGGGTGTTAATTATTTGCAGTTTTTTTCTTTTGTTTGGCTCAACGTCAACTTCATATTCATCTAAGAGTGATTACACAAAAATCTCAACTAATTGTTTTTAATTTGACAATGGATGAGAGATGAAACAGAGGTCCCAAAAGGTGTTTAAGTGGCATGGAAGAGATGTTCGTGGAACTCCAAAACCAAAAGTTCAAAACCATTTGCCCATCTCTAGTCCCTACACGTATTTTTTTATGATATCAAATTAAGATTTTGGGATGATACTATATGATGGAATTTTTTAAAAAAAATAAGAAGAGAGAAAAAGAAACGGGGGCGTTAGAGGTTAGAGCATTTAAGAGCACAAGATTATTAAAAGTAAGATGGAGACGTAGTGATGAAAATGAAATATGCTAGCGAGGTTCTTTAATATTTTTTTTTCTCTAGGAACGTCGAAGCTAGAAAATATTCGTGTCCATTGAAATTATAGATTATGAAGATTCCCTCCACGCAGACTCTTTGATGTAAGACCACAATTCGCGTATTTATAGAAATGTCAAACAGAAGATTAGTAGTTTAATTTCGGGAATGATATCTGTTAAAAAACATGCAGTGGATTAAAACAACTTCACTGCATGTTATAACCACGAGCTTACCATGCAGTGAAAAGAGAAAGAAAACCCGTAAGCGTGGGTTTAAAATGAGTATTGAGATCTTAACCAACAAAATGATAATCATTAGATTACTGTAAACCTAGTTTTGCTGAAACAATATCTCTATGTTTAATAAAGATTTTACCAAAAGTGAGTGTGAAATGAGTAATATTGAGAGAATGCATTCCATTGTGGGGTTGGTGGACTACGGAAGTGGTGTGGTGCTATGCGGTTGGTTAAAAGCAAGTTCTTGTGTAATCATATATGGTTCTCTCTTTCAGCACCGTACCGCTCACTAGTGGTGACAAAACACGACTTATTAAACAATAAATCATCATCACTATTAAAGTATTAAGTTGAAGATCATCATCACAAAGTGTGTAAACAACAACATTCTCTATGCGTTTGAATGATCACAAGTTAGAATAAACCGAAAGTAGGGCTTGTTGGGTCTTGATAGCCCAACGGGTAACTGAATGAGTCATTCTTGAAATCAATTATGATAAAGAAGAACATATTTTGGGCTAAACTTGGGCTATTTTTGTTATCCATCGAGGCCTTGTAAGATTATGGCGGTGTAAATCTCTTAGGGCTTCCGATGCCCTAATAATCTCTGGTATATATACAGATCACAAACCTACTTTTGTTCTCATCACCTCTTCTTCTTCATCCTAATTCACTACTTTTATACACCTTCGCTAGTTTTTTAGGTCGTGCTTTTGGTTTTCTATGGTCTCTGTTAGCGTTTAGATCGTGTTTTTTTTTATCGGTTATTATGATCTTTGTTTAGTGACGCGATTTCTCTCCAAGGAATCTATTACTTAAATATTGGAGCAATCTGAAAAAGTGTGGTTGCATAATCCAAAAGTAAACGTCACAAAGAAATTCGTCAGCCTCGGACGTCGTAGGAGCCTTAGGGCTTTCTCCGTCTGAAGGTATCGCTGGCTCTCATATTCCATTGCCCTGCGGAGCGGCGTCGCTGCTTTTACCGTTTTGGCCGGCCATGAGATGTACATTCCCTTTTTTTTTTTTTTAATTTTGATTTCTCGATTTAGGAATATTTGAGCCGATGAGGACATCAGATTATAAAAGAACACCATCTTTCGGGACTGACTAATTTTGATGATACTTCTGCAATTCTGAGGCTTACCTTATATATTTATTTTGGATTTAGTAGTAATGTTTTTGTTAGTAATAGGAGGCTGTGATGATTGAGACTGTCATGCACCACTCTGATTTAGTGCTGATAACCATCTCTAACCCATAATTGATCTGAGCCTAATGTTTATGAATTCAGAATTTTTGTTTACATGTGAAGAGTTTGAAAGGGTAAGAAAGTCAGATGATGGTCTTAATTGACATGACCTTGATGCGGACTGTATAGCTTTATTGCTTTTGAAGATGACCTTTGGTTACTGATGGCTATAATTACTTACCCCTCTTCTCTTTCTTGTTTTTCAATGCTCCTGTGTTTTAGTCGGTTTTCTGAAATTGTCTATGATTTTGGACTTATCAATCTTAATAAATTTACTTTTTTTTTAGTTGAGACACTAGTTGCTTTGTTTATCAGTTACAAAACATGCCATGCTTCCATTGAACAAGAACTTGTAGCTATAATGATCTTTTAATTGATGGACATTGAAGATAACCATAGTTGAAAGCACTTTGAACAAAGTAAGCATGAAAACGGTAACACTGTCACATCATCTGTTGTTGAGTTTGTAAAAGCCACAATTTCTCAATCGCTAGGCCTATAGACACTCGTAATTATGGAATGGAACGGCAATATTAACTTTAATTAGTTATTATAACAAAGCCATGATCGCTATGCAAAATTAATGGAGCTTAATACAAATTAGAGTGACGACGAACAAGAAATCTTATGAGAAACACAAGAAAATGGACATTGGCCACAATCAAAGTTGACCAATCTCGTCGTATAAGGAGTAAGAGGGGATTATTTTACCTTGGGGTAAGATAATATAAGTCCCTTAATTAATAATGGAATTTATAGAGAATGGAATCTAGAAAGTGGAATTTAAAATAATATAAGAGCAATCTATCTCTATTTTACAGGAAAAAATAGAGTTTAGAGGAAAATTCTCTCCAATCCTAAAAATAGAGGTTGCTATTTTTCCCTCTATATTTGGAGGAACTCTATTTGTTCTTCTATAATAGAGATGCACTTTTTTATTTATAAATTGATCTCTTAACTTTTATATCTTTTTATTTTTATTTATATAACAAATAAAAAATTAAATTAAATATTTACATAATCTAGTGTGTATATATCCAATAAATAGCCATATATCTAACATATAAATTTAATTAAATTATAAAATGTTAAATAACTTTACTAAAATTTAATAAAATTAACATCATTTCAGACAATAACTATTATAGAAAAACAGAAAATATTATTTACTTTAATTAACTATAACATTTATAAATGAACGTGGTTAATCCACGATAAAAAAATAAACATAAATAATAATATAATATACACATGTACAATAATATGTCAATAAAGTTACATTATACAGTTTTGTATGTTATTAAATACAAAAACCCAATAAATAAATAAATTTAATAATTTTTGTTATGGTTTGAGAAAATTTTGTGAACATATAATATAACTAAATTGGAAAATTCTCATTTATTTCAAACTAAAATATAAATAAAATGATAAATTACAATAACTTTTTTAAAATACAGAAATTATTTCAAAATGATAAATACTATAGTGATTTAGTAAATGTTTTGAAAATTATGGAAAATTATAAATACTATAGTCATTTTGAATTTTGTTTTATGAAATAAATGTTTAATTTTAATATATTTTTATTATTTATAGAAATTTTTGTAAACAATAATATAAATAGGATTAATTTGTAAATTTTATGAAAAGAAGGTGTTAATAATAAATTATAAAGAGAATATTCTTAAAATATTCCTTTTTAGAGGAAAAAATAGAAGAATATATTGGAGAGAAGTACACCTCTATTTTAGAGTTCCTCTATTTTAGAGGAAAAAATAGAGGAATACATTGGAGATGGTCTAAGGCCCTTAGTTAATAATGCGTATTCTCCAAACCCAGTCAATAGTAAGACGGCGTCGTATGAGCGATTCGTGAATCCTTCCTCTTTCTGTTGACTAGAAACTCGCGGAGAAGAAGAAGTTGCAGAGAGAGAGAGAGAGATCGGATGGGGATAATCAAGAGCTGCTTCTCCCTCTTGGTGGGTACTGCTTTCGGCGTTTACTTGGCCCAGAACTACAACGTCCCCAACATCAGGAAGCTCACCAACACCAGTCTCGTCGTCGCCAAGCACATCGAGGAGAACTATCGCAAGCCCAAAAAGGACGACGCCGACTGATCTGGTACATACCATTATCTTGTCGGAATAAAGCTTTCGTTTTTTTGCTTTCAACTTGTTACATTTGGACATTTTAGTGTTTTTTCATGTATTTTGGTTTAGGAATTGATGGAATATTAATCGTGATCATCTTATTATGCATACTCAATTTTGGGACTTTAGGGTTTCTTGTTGGTTTATGAGTCAATTAGAATGAGATCAGAAACCTCAATATGCCCTGTCTATGAACCTCGTTGCTGACTTAAAAGGTTAGAAATGAAAGGGCTTGGTTTTGGCTCTGTGATCCAATCAGTTTCAGTTGTTCTTGGATCTATCATTGTGTCATTTGGTTTTGACTCTGTGATCCAATCAGTTTCAATTGTTCTCGGATCTATCATTGTGTCATTGGTTTTGACTCTGTGATCTAATCAGTTTTCAGTTGTTCTTGGATCTATCATTGTGTCATTGTTAATGTATTGAAGTTCTGAAATGTGAAGGTGAGCTACAGAGACAGAGCTAGAGAGAAGAATGGAGGTGGTGGTGGTGCAAAGACATAGTTGGCTTTCTCTCTCAGCATATCAAAGAGAGTATTGGTTCTGCCATCTGATTACAGAGCTTTTAATTTCACTTAGGAAGTTTGATTAACTAAAAAAGTTTAAATGTATGTTGACACATTCTGGATCGATCCATGTCCTCAGTGGAATTGGTGGTTTTGCCTGCATTCTTATTTGATCACTGATACTCTACTGACTTAAGGCACAGCTCTGTAAGAAGCATTGCACATCTCATCATCATCTACTCTTTTTTATTTTCTTTGTAAAGATATGTAATAAGAGTTATCTACTTTGGCTATATAATAAAATCATTCGTATCTTTTTTTCTGAAAACACAATCTTATTTTGGTGACTTTAGAACAAACTCTTCTTCCTCCTGGCTTGCTTTGTTCATTATAATCTCTCCATGTCTTAAGAGTGAATAAAACTTCTTCTTCATGTGGAGGGTTTTGGGTTCATAAATTAAAACACCAAAAAGTTAGGAATGCTATGCAACACGCATGATCAGTTCAATGGTGGCTATAACATGTTTTGACCTTTTCTCTTTTTTTTGCCAAATTCATAATATTTTATCCTTAAACCGATTATATTATAATTTCTAATACTCACAGCTGACTCAGTCCATCTCCTCGTTGGCATCTGCTATTTATTTATTATTATTTTTTTTAAATCTCAATTTTCTTACGTAAAGTATTTAAAATTCAAAGTCGTTTTACCTCTATGTGAATGTTATGCACAAAAATCGTTATTAATCCTACTTGCTACTGTTTTTAGTTTGTTGGTTATAATCCCATTGTTGTTGTAAAATTAAATTCTAGTTAATTGCATATTATATATACAGTTTGTGGGTGAAACGTGTAAGGATGGGAATGGGACTTCTCAATTAAATAGCAACGAATTCAATGTCTTCTTCCATACATACAAAATCATACTTTCCCTTTGTTCAAATGATCATCTATAGCCTCCATTTCCAAATCAACAGACCATATATATAAAAAAAAAATATAAGCAGACCTCTTTTCTTTCTTTTGTCAACAATAAAAAGACCTCTACACACATGTATACTATATAGATACATTTACAGCAAGCCGGCGTCGTGGCTCTGCCGACGGAAAATGGCGGAGCCGATGACGCGGCGGCGCACCCTCATGCTCTGCGAGGAACTTTCACTTCCATCGGTACATACATACGTTGTATATTTACATGCTATACGTCTCTACTATCCTTCTTTTTAGTTGTATCTATCATTTCATGCATCTTCAAATTCTTATCTTCTTTTCCAGTTTCGATGTTCTCTTTCTTTTCTTTTCATTTATAATTTGCATGATTTTCAGAATAAGGAAATGTATTGAGTGAAACCATTATATATCGTTGTTGTTGTTCGATCATACATTAGTTACAAATACAATTATAATGCAAATTCGCAAAGTTGTACTATATACTCGCATAAGTTTCTCAGAACTCCCGTCTTTTTTATTCCCATTTTATATTTTTTTTTTCTCATTTTTAGTTTTCATAATCTTTTTTATTATACTCTTTTCCTTACAGAATATATGTATTTTTCGAAATAATATGTAGTTTTGCATTTAGTCAATTTTTTTTTAAAAAAATGTAAGATAGTATATACAGTTCGAAGAGTCAACTTGTTGTCTTTAGAATGTTCTGTATTTGCAAAAATGTAAAAATGACTCTTGTATTAAAACGGAGAAATATATGTGAAGCATCTAAATATTAACTTAAAGACCAAAATCAGTTTCAGGTTATAGTGATAAAAGCAGATGTGGGATGTGTCCGTTGTCAAGACAGAGTCTCTAAGATTGTCTCCAAGATGACCGGTGAGCTCTCTACGTTACCACCAAATATTTGATCATGAATAATAATACATGTGTTGTGTTTGTAAAACTAGACAATCAGTTATTGATTAAACCTATAAGCAACTTGCTATTTAAATTATTCTTAGATATGCTTAATCTTAATTCCATCATTTTCTTGGCTGCTACCTACCGTTTACTACCGTTCTTATTCGCCCTTAAGAAGTAAGAAACCATCCACGATCTTTTTGTTTAATCGTATTTGTCATAATCGATTCTCTATAATCGACTTTATTGATTTTAAAAATGAGAGAGGGAGAGAAAATAATTACGTACGTATTTGACCAAATAAAATGGGATTTGGCAGGAATCGAAGAATACGTGGTTGATTTAAAGAACAAGCTGGTCATGACACGAGGTGCCTTTAGACCGCGTTTGGTTTCTCATCAACAAGTCAAGGACGTTATTGTCTCTCAAACTCTGCCCCAAAACGCCAAACGCTTTTTTCGACCTCTAAACCTCTTACTTCGATCCATTTTCTCGCGTTGCTTGTTATGTCCAAGTACACTTTAAAAGTAGAGTAACCCCCAAAAATGTACATTTATAGATTCTCACTTACTACAAACTCCATTACACAAAGTAATAATAGTGGTGCGAAGTAGTTAATATCAAGAGTGATTTTGTGGTACATATCACAAGTTCACGGGGATGATTTCGTTTTGAGGTTAAAGTATTCTCTATTCTTTTCAAAAACGATTATGTTACAAGTATTCTTATTAATGTGATTTTGTAATTAATTATACATATTGTTGAGGGAAAATAATTCTTATTAATGTAATATTCAAGGTTATCATAGAAAAAAACTGACGATATCATATTACAACAACACGATTACCCAAAATTCAAGGCAAACAAGAATGCTTGATTTATTGAGAAATGAATGTAACAAAGGAGCCTTGCAAAGCAAGTTGCGATCAATAAACATCAAACTGGCTGTTGCTGAGGTTAAGATAAGAAGGCATTACAAATCCCCAAAGAAGCCAATTTGTCATGTATTATAATTAAAACAACAGAGTAAAGAGTACCTTTTTCGTTAATCACTGCCCTTCTTCTTGTGGTATAATCAGCTCTTCACAGTCACCCACAATGACCTCAGATGTACGAGCATCGTAAGTATAGGCAATGTATAACTGCTTAGGTTGGCCCGGACATGGATCGCAAAAGCCCATGATCCCTGATTTCTTCACTCCTTCATGGAGCTTGAGCTCCCCAGAGTCACTTACAAGGAAGTTCATGGGCACTGTCACGTCAATGACTCCCGAATCTACTTCTTCTACTACTAAGTGTTCGTGTCTTTTCTCTATCGCTTTTGCGTCACCATACAACGCCTTCGTTACTATGAGCCCGCCTGTTTCTGCTTGCCGGTTTTTCTTCCTCGTGGCTACGTTTTGTAGCAGTTGCTGAGCTTTCTCAGCCGATGCCCTTGCTTCCCGAACCTAAAACACACACAATTGTTATAAAACTTCATAGCTACCACACGGAGTCTCTCGCTTGGCTACCAAACTTGTAAGGAATCATCACCTGGCCATAAGTTTTCTCCATGTTCTCCAAGGCCTTTCGTTTTTCTCTTTTATGCAAATACGGCTTCACCACAAATTTCTGCGTGGGAAAGTGAATAATTCTAATAAGGCAAACACCTTACGTTATCACCAGAGAGTAAGAGGTAGATGTTTAGAGGGTCCAGTCACTCTCACCTTTAACAAGAAGTAAAGGGATGTTGGAACAACGAATGCTCCAGTTGCAAATACTGGACTTAAATATGAGGTGAGCAGGATCTGCACGTTTCAAAGGTAATCATTATGGATTTGTTAAGGTCTCAAAAGTGAAAGACTTTCTCAGACTAAACCAGAGATTAAAACAATACCTGTTCTGTTCTTATCAAGAAGAATAGAACAGATGACACCACCAGAGAAAACAAATGAAAACGAAGAAGAAAGTAACACTCACAGGAACAATCAGCTTTTGACCACCACGGTGTAGCTCTAGTTTCCAGAAAACACCCTACAACAAAAGTATAAAAGTACCGGAAATAAGCAGATTTTCATAATAAGTAAGATGCCTCTGAAACTTTTAAAGATAAGTGTTTACCTTGATTCCTATTGTATACATCATTCTTACGGTACTGAACTCAGAAATCTTCCTTCCGCCACCGACCTCAATCTCAAGAGCATTGCTGATAAAGTTCAAAAAAATGATCCAAAGTCAAATGAGAACACTACTAATTGCGCCACACAGGTAAAAAAACTTAATCAAAAGGATTTCCATCCTCTCCCACATTCTACATTCGTTTGCTATGGATTATCTGTCAGTAACACATACCTTCCGATTCTACCTACAACGCGGCCGTGAGATTTGGATGAAAGTTTACGAGTATAACGCGCTGAAGCTCCGAGTCCACCAGCCTCAATCTGGTAATAGCAAGATCATAATAACTAGTTTAAGCAAAGAGAGATGGTCGAGGTGGAACAGTCTGAATGCAAATTTAGCAGTCAGCGTACCTTCAGGTCAGCAGTAGCAGATACATCCTCGTCTCTCTTTTTCCATCCGACTCCAATTCCTGATCGCATACCCAGTGCCAGTTCAATCTGGAGGAAAGAAACTATATGAAAATCTAGAAACCTGCTTCCTCAGCCCTCTAAGAAGGTCAAATCAAAAGCATAACAGGGGAGAGAACATACATTTCCGCTTGTAGTTTCTGAAAGCTGCCGAGTCCACGTGTTGGTAAGATTAATGGAACCATCACTCAAAGACTTGGAGATATTGATAGTGGCAGTTGAATGTATGGATAACTGACTGCCCCGAACAAGAAACCCAAAGAGTCAGTCATATAAACCGTCAAAGATGTGATGTCCACATATATAATATTAGTAACTGGAAAAACTCAGGAACCTACCGTGTCGTCTGCATTCCAATAACCGACTGCAAACCCGTTGAAGCGAGAAACTCTATGGATGACACCGGAGAAAGCTGGCGTCTCATAATGGCAGTAGCAATTCCGCCACCAGACTTTTCATTGGCCGCCAGGTTTCCGCCAATGGCAATAGCATCATCTTTTGATAACTGAGACTGCACTTGACTAGCCATAACCATTCTGACAGTCGCAGATGCAAACACAAAAGAAAATAAATTGGGCATCAAAAGACCAAAAATTACTTCAAAATGTAACAAAGTAAATGTCACAAAGATCATATATTTTCTCAATAACCATATGCTATAGAAGTATCCCAGGCTAGTAAAAGCTCTTCAAAGTCAAGTTAGGAACCCCAAATCAAGAACCATGCTACCAAAATGACATCAGAACTTGGAAAGAAAAAAAATAGTACCCTCTCATGATGCCATCACCGTCTAGAAAATTTGGCAGAGACAGATTGAAGATAATTGAACCGGTGGGAAGAAAATGTGCCATATTCTTAGCTTCTTCGTTTCTCCTCTTAATCTTTTCAAGCTCCTCCTTGATCTCGTCGGCCTTACTCAGCCTGGGACCAAGCTCCAATCCTGAGGTCAAGCCTTCCATGCCATATAAGTCATATATTAGCCTCTTAGTCTCATTCGACAATATCTCGTATGCTTCATTTATGCGTTTGAAGTTCTCTTCAGCAACCTCCTTCATCTGACCAGAAATTCGAAATCAGCCCACGAAAAAAAAGCTATGTTTTTTATCCGTAAATTAGCAAAATTGATATCAATACTCCACGAAGACGAATATCAAAAGTAGAAAGAAGATAGTCAGCAAGCATGAGGATCAATCGATAAACGCAATACAAAGGTGAGATTCGAGCATAGGGTACACAAACCAGAGGATTTTGGCACTTGTCGGGGTGATACACTTGAGCCCATTGACGATAAGATTTCTTGATTTCTTCGTCGGAGGCCTCCGGTGACAAATTCAGAAGCGCGTAGAGTTCTCTGTTCGGCGGCCCGGTCGATGCTGCTTCATCGCCCATCACTCCGTAAATTCAATCAATCGCTCGGGTTACTTGAATCTCGATAGCGGCAATCAAATCCGCACTTGGAAGTGATAAGAAATAGAAATTCCGGCGTGGGAGAGCTCGAATCGCCGGAGGGCTTTAGGGGTTTTGCGGCGGTGATTTGGGAGGGGGGTTTTGACGCCGCTGCTCTCGGCTTAGCCTTGCTTTGACGCTTTGACCCTTGCTTGAATCCCAAGTCCATCCTCTCTTTCCTGTTTCATCCTCAATACCTCTGTAAAATTGTATTTTTGACATCTTATTTCATAAATTGTACAATTGAACCCCCTATTTTCTCGTAGGCCAGATGGGCCGCGGGCACATATGTTAATGGGCCTTAAATGTCCAGCAGACTTCAGCTACAACTACAAACGGATTTTTAGCCCCAAAACAAAAGGCACAAAACAAACGATTTCTAAAGAGATTGAACGAGACCAATTAAGAGAAGTTTTTTTGATATACAAGAATGGGATCCTAGGTATCAATATCTCTAGCCATACTTACTCTTAGTTGGTCATATTCATCAACATCAGTTTTGAATTCTATAATTTTAGCTTGAATCTAAATCGATTTGTATGTTTGCAGGCATTACTTAACTCTAATGGTTACTATTGATGCACACAGCGTCGTGATTGTAAGAGTTTGTCACATTCATTGTGTTGACCAAAAGCTTAGAACCGTGTGATTTGATTGAAAGGTGATCTGAAAAATTAGGAAAATAACGAGGGTGCATGTGTTGAGAGGGCAAAAACCTAATGGTGTGTGTTGAATAGTCCAGATTGAACTATCAACACAATATTGGACTTTGATATTGTTGAGTCAAACTTGTTCTAATAAAAACATATCGATGATCACTTGTGACATGGACTTACTATAAATAACAAATTTGGTAGATCATTGTTCGTACTTCGTAACACGACAAGAAATGGATCTATATAATTCGTAAGGAGAAATGCTGATTATATAAGAGCATACGATAAATTTAGTCAATTTATAACTGCGAGTCTGCAACTGTGCAAGATATACGCAGCCGAAGGTATGTTGACTTTGAACGAGTCAATGGACCATTTCAGAGACAAAAATGGGACTGACGCGGTTTCAAGATACAAGAAGAGTCATCTGATTGTTAATTAGTCAACGTTCCTTCCTTTCCTTCCTCTTTCCCTTTGTCTCTTTTTCAGCTCCAATATTTTTGTTTTTGTTAAAAAAAAAATTCGACCAATATTTTGTAACAGTATATTTAAATTATTTAAATTACATGTAATATAAAAAGTACAAGATGGTAAAATGCATACCCATATAAGCTGCTGAATGGTAGGCATCCACAATTGGAAGTTCTAATATAATCGTTTTCAGAACAGTCTTATTGGTTCGCTATGGACTATCATTTCTGTTAATCTTGCATCAGTCATATTTTGTTACGTTTGTTTTATATGTACCTTATATTTTGCATTTTCTTATTGAATTGGCTAGTAACTCCATATTGCAACAATATAATAAAGAATATACCAATTTAAAATAGTTATCATTTACAAAACGATAACAACTACCTCTTGTATCGCTAGTATCACATTTTTTTTTTATAAGTTTATTGTCTTTTTCTATCAAAAGACCTCATACCACTTTGTATCATCAATTTTTTTTTTTTTAGCAGCTTTTGTGGCTATCAATATAAACATAAGTACACAAACGTACCATTTTTTTTTCTGCAAGCATGCAAATATAATACACTTTAAAACTGAATGAAATCTCTAATACTGTACTTCATTTCCTTCACAAAGAGGGAACTCATATCCATCAAATTAATTCACCCTTTTCTATTTCGTAAAATGAATCAAATTATTTTTGACCCTTTAGAGCAACAAGCATAGTTTTACCTTTTCTTGTTAAAAAAAATGTTTTTGGTTGTGAGTTTCTTGACAGAATTGACTTTGAAATATAGCTTTTTTCTGTTTGTAATAAGATATTAGATATACATTATGTAGTGAACTAAGATGAGATTGCACACCACTTGCCATTTGCCAAGAGGACAAAGGCTCAGCCCACCACACATGGTCCAAATTGACCATTTCCATATTATCAGCTGCCAATAAAAACATAAAATAAATACTTCTCTAACTCACTTTTTTATTTAATTAAGAAAAAATTAATCACACCTTAGTTCACCATCTTCTTGTGCGTTACAGACTAAACAGCGTTACACGTTCTCTCTAGTCCAAAAAATGTGACTAAAGATATAAAGAGTTTTTTTCTTTTCTTTAAACCTTAAAATCTGGAGTTAAAAATTCAAAATCAATAGATTTCACTTAATTTAAAATTTCCTTTTTACGAATGTAGATACTAGATATAATTCTATCAATATTGAAAGATCAAAGGTGATAAGTAAGTAAGTATTAAGTATTGAGGGATTTGCATCGGAAAATGGAAAGTACCAGAATTTGCTAGGTGTAAATTAGAGATAATTTTACAACTAGTGGTAATTAACTTATTTTTGGTAAATAAAAGCAACTTAGGTATGGTCATCCATCTTCTTATAATTTAAAAATAAAAAAATATCATTACAATAATTCTAATTGGCCACTCGCTATTACACCTTTTTAACCCCTTCACAGTCTCCCAGAAACCGCCCTCTCTGTTTGATTACATTATTTGTGTGTATATATACGCGTATGCGTTTTCTTTAAAAAATCAGTTTCTAAATAATTCTTTTATTTTTGATTGTTCCAATTCGGACATTGTACAGAGAAATCAGGAATGGATTTGCAGAAAGGTTTAGTGTTGCTGTGTTGTGTTCTATCCATTTTGGTACTTGAAACGACGGCGTATCGAGAGAGACAGCTGCTGCAACCGCAAGAAACGGCGATGGACACCGCAAACGCCGCGGTGGCGATTCGGGATCGGGGTCTGAAGACGCGGCGGCCGGAGCACAAGAACGCTTACGCAACGATGATGTACATGGGAACGCCAAGGGACTACGAGTTCTATGTTGCGACACGCGTCTTGATCAGATCGTTGAGGAGTCTCAACGTGGAAGCTGATCTTGTCGTCATCGCTTCTCTCGATGTCCCTCTCCGATGGGTTCGAACCTTGTAAGTCTTCTTCTTCTTCTCTTGCTCTGTTTCTTGCGTCCACAAAAAAATCTGCCAAACATTATCAAACGTCATCGTTTCAAACTTAGACCATCATACCAATATTACGCTGGAAAATACACTTTCTATTAATTTTTTTATATTATGAAAAATTCGAATATTTCCCCATTAATGGCATCGTGCGTGAAACAGCAAAACCTTTTTTTTTTTTTAAACAGCAAAACTTTTCTGTATGGGATATTTCATATTTCTCTTAAAATTTTATCTTGGTTTTGAAGTGGGGGTATTTTTAAAAATCAAGTACAAACATTACAATAATATATGCTAAAGGTTGGTCTCTTTATTATTAATTGTTTTTTGGAACTGAATTAAGCTTATAAAAATGTCCGAATGAGACAACGACTGACTTAATCATAGAAATGACGGAGAACCAAATGTATAGGTTTTTGATTCTTTACTTTACTTTTTTTTCTTGCATCGTTTCTTTCTCTTTCTTGTTGATCGGTTTCACGAATTCAAATAAAACAAAAGTCAACAAAACTTAAACATTGTGGAAGTGTTCTGTTTTGTTGTCCTTACTATTTCTGTAATGAAATTACGAAAGCTAAGTAAAAGTTGGGGAGAATCAAACGTCGAGTTGTTGACACTTAGAGACCCACGCATTTAAGTCCATTTCTATCCACTCCCCATATAATTTGACTATAGACTATACGCGTCTCTCCGCATAGAAATATCTATTTCTCCAATTGAATTTAAGCCAATGAAATGATTTAAAAGAATCAATGCTCAAAAACTCGTTAGAAGTCCTCCAGTTTTTAAATTTTGTTTCATTTTTGATAGTTTAGTAAATTTCGTATTTCTCTAACACATTAGTAGACACGTAGATCTGTTTTGATTAAAGTTAAGGGGTCGGAATTGTATTGACAACCACCTAAACAATTTTCAAATCTTGAAATAAGCCACATAACCTTAGTCAACAAATTCACCCAAAACAGTTGAAACATGGCGTAGAATAAAGAGCAAGAGAACTAAAAGCTTATTACATTGGTCATTGAACGAAAGTGTGTATAAGAAGAGTTGTTTGACTTTAAAGGCCCTAATTGAAAAACCTTTTGGAAACAAGAAGAGCTGTTTTGTTCAAATTGTATATCTTATTAATTTATTGCCGGCCAATCTGCTGTAATAGATCATGGGAGAACGTCTAAATCTCAATCTCATTACGTATAATAATTGTTTTAACATCACTAAGACTTGACATGCATATGCAAAGTCAATAGTCTCAAAATCATGCATGCATACATAGAATAGTTGTTGGTACCGAACATGTGTCGTGTGGATGCTAACGAGTGTGCATGTGTGTGTGTGAGCAGGGAAGAGGAAGATGGAGCTAAAGTGGTGAGAGTTGAAAATGTGGATAACCCGTACCTGAGACAGACCAACTTCAACAGTAGGTTCAAGCTTACTCTCAACAAGCTCTACGCTTGGGCTTTGTCTGATTACGACCGTGTCGTCATGCTTGATGCCGACAACCTCTTCCTCAAGAAAGCCGACGAGCTGTTCCAGTGCGGGAGATTCTGTGCGGTCTTCATAAACCCTTGCATCTTCCACACTGGCCTCTTCGTCTTGCAACCCTCGTTGGAAGTTTTCAAGGACATGCTCCATGAGTTACAAGTTGGAAGAGAGAATCGTGATGGAGCTGATCAAGGCTTTCTTGTTAGTTACTTCCCCGATCTTCTTGACCAGCCTCTCTTTCGTCCTCCGAGTAATGGCTCTGTTCTCAGTGGCCATTTGAGACTTCCCTTGGGCTACCAAATGGATGCTTCTTATTTCTGTAAGCCCTTCTTTCTCTTAAACAATCGATCTTTTTTACAATAATACACATTTTGGTCA